TCGCCTCCACCCCTCCCGTCTCTCACTTTAGGGCACGACCATTACCCCCCCACCCCTCCCCCGCCTCCACCCCTCCCCCCAACCCTCCCCCGCCCCGCCCCCTTCTCCCCCTGATCGCCGCGTCTCTCGCTCGTTCGCGCTCGATATAAACGCCGCCGCCGCCAACGCCGTGGAGGAGTCGGGTAATCAGATGCGCGGGAACGAGAATGCGATTTGACAGGAAATAAAGTGATATTAAAACACACGGGCCCCGCCGTCCGTCTTGATTAGGGGGCGCGCGCGTGCGCGTGCACGCGGGGGGGGGGGGGGGTAGCCGGGGGAGGGCTCCGCATGCAAACGGCCCCATTAGAGGCGCGTGCACGCGCATTGACACACGCGCGCGCGCACACAGACAAAGATCCCCCTTATTGCTACGACAGACTTTTGTGGCAAGTGCTGTTAGCGAGCACATGTAAAGGCGGGCACGGAACACGAAGGGGTGGGTGGCCAGCACCACGCTCGTCCGCCTTCGTCTCCCCCGTGGCGATGTTTACACACCGCACCAGGTACTCATTTGAGGCTGAGTCGACCCAGGGGAGGCCCAGGACCGGTTCAGATAATCGTCACCGGTGTTGGTCGTTGAGCGGGAATCGAACTCGGGAGCCGGGTCCGAAGCGCAGCGCGCTAACCGCTGCACCACCGCTCCCCAGACAGACGCAATAAACAACAACACAGATCCCCCGTGTAGCCTCAACAGACCGTTGGGGTAAGTTCTGTTAGCGAGCACCTATGAAGGCCGGCACGGCGCACGAGGGGGTGGAGGTGGGTGGTGGTGGTGTGGCCAGAACCACGCCCTTGCACGCAGTCGAGATGAACGCACACAAATACACGAACACAAGACATGCAGGCACATCAGCACGCATACACCCCTTCGCCGCGCATACACAAAGGCACGTACACACACGCACAGACACACTCTGATATGAATAATGTAAACACACGTACACAAATACACGACAAACACACACGCACAGACGCATACGCAAGCGTATGTTTACACAAACACATAAACCTTCACACACACGTGAACTTACATATCCACTTGAAATGCAAATTGACGCAATGTTCATACGCAAACTCAAATCCACACGGACAGGACCAGCAAGACGACCAAGCACACTCGATCACTTCTCCAGCCCGCACACACAGTACACACAGTACACACACTCACAGTACACATTACACACACTCACAGTGCACACAGTACGCTCACAGTACACACAGTACACTCACAGTACACACACAGTACACACTCAATCACAGTACACACAGTACACACACTCACAGTACACATTACACACACTCACAGTACACACAGTACACTCACAGTACACATTACACGCACTCACAGTACACACAGTACACACACTCACAGTACACATTACACGCACTCACAGTACACACAGTACACTCACAGTACACACACAGTACACACTCAATCACAGTACACACAGTACACACACTCACAGTACACATTACACACACTCACAGTACACACTCAATCACAGTACACACACTCACAGTACACATTACACACACTCACAGTACACACTCAATCACAGTACACACACTCACAGTACACATTACACACACTCACAGTACACACTCAATCACAGTACACACAGTACACACACTCAGTACACATTACACGCACTCACAGTACACACTCAATCACAGTACACACAGTACACACTCACTCACAGTACACACAGTACACACACTCACAGTACACATTACACACACTCACAGTACACACTCAATCACAGTACACACAGTACACACTCAATCACAGTACACACAGTACACACACTCACAGTACACTCACAGTACACACACAGTACACTCACTCACTGTACACACTCACACAGTACACTCACTCACAGTACACACACAGTACACACTCTCACAGGAGCAAGAGGCGTTGATGAATGGGGCCATTTACACGAATCACCGAATCCACACCGCCTCCATCATCACCCATCACCACCACCGCGCCCACCATCACCACGGCTGTCTGTCGCCCCCTTCCGCGGCGTGATGAGGATGGAGAGGATGATGGTGCCATGGGAACGGCGACGACGACGATGGGAAAGGAACGATGAGAGCGATGCGGGTGACGATTACGAGGTTGCTGATGATGCCAATCACGGTAATGGGTTGTCATACTGAAATGCACGATGGGAGTGATGGGATGGAGACGATGAGGATGATGTGATGGGCTGATGCGATGATGGCAGTGATGGGTTGTGGTCTCGGGTTGTCCGTGGGGTGATGGCGGTAGGGTGGGGGGGGTAAGGGCGGTCGTGGAGGATGGTGGCGGGGTAATTACACCCCGGAAGTGCGCCCTGTAATCCAACACGGATCGCCGTAATTGATGTTTGATGACTGCGACAGGGACTTCATGAATCCTCGCGAGCACAGCGACAGCAGAGGGACAGCTCGGACACAGCACAGGGGACAGCAGAGAGACAGCACAGGGGACAGCTCGGACACAGCACAGGGGACAGCACAGGGGACAGCAGAGGGACAGCACAGGGGACAGCACAGGGACAGCAAATAGACAGCACAGGGGACAGCAGAGAGACAGCTCGGACACAGCACAGGGGACAGCAGAGAGACAGCACAGGGGACAGGAGAGGGACAGCAGAGAGACAGCACAGGGACAGCAGAGGGACAGCACAGGGGACATCAGAGGGACAGCAGAGAGACAGCACGGGGACAGCTCGGACACAGCACAGGGGACAGCACAGGGGACAGGAGAGGGACACAGCACAGGGACAGCACAGGGGACAGCAGAGGGACACAGCACAGGGACAGGACGCGGTTGTGCTGCACCCTGGCTGGGAGTGGAGTGGGGGAGGTAACGGAGGGATGGAGGAGACACAATGATTGGGCAGGGCCTGGAGGGCGAGGGGAGGGGCCGGGATGATTGTGAAGGAGGCTGGGGGGTGAAGGGGGAGTGGTGGTTGGGGGGGGCTCTGTATTATTGTGAAGGGGCTGGGACGTTGAGCCCCCCCAGATACATTGGGGGGGGGGAGTGAAGGGGCCGGGGGGAAGGGTAAGAGCGCCTGCTTTGTGAAGGGAGGCTGGGGCGTGAGGGGAGGAGGCAGGGGGGGCTGGGATGATTTGGTGGGTCGGGATATGAAAGGGGAGGTGGTGGGGGCGCCAGGCGAGGGGAGGGGCCGCGATGTCGCGGTTAAATGAATTATTTAGGAGATGACAAACAGGCGTCGCTCGGGTGATGAGAGCCCCATTACTGCCCGCGCGCGCCACCCCCCCTCCCCCGCCTCTAACCCCCCTCCCCCACTGCCCCGCCCCTCCCCCCACCGCCCCGCCCCTACCCCGCAGCCCCACGATGCGCCGGGTTCACGCCCCGCGGCCACGGCTCAGGCCGAGCCGCAGTGACGGACACGAGCCGCTCTGTCCGGTCACAAGGATCAGAGAGAGAGGCGGTGGTGGTGGCGGTGGTGGCAGTCTCCGCCGAGGGCAGCGGTCACGACGGTGACGCGGGGAAGAGCGGGGTCGCCGTGACTGCTCTGAGGATCGGGATGGCCACGACTGCACCGAGGGGGGGGGGGGCAGAGCGTGCAGCCACTTCAGGAGCGCCCTGTGGGAAGGAGACCCCCTTCCGCCAGTGGGGGGTTTGGGGGGCAAAGCGAGGTGGTGGAGGTGGTGGTGGTGGAGGGGGCGTCACGCACGCGCCCCCGCAAACCGCCCCCCTCCCCCCTCCCCTCGCCCCGCGCGCATCGCTCAGGAGGCGCGCGCGCGCGCGCGCTCGCTCGTAAAGGCGCGCGCATCAATACTGCATGGGGCGCGTGACGCCTTAAGTGGCGCGCGCGGGGGAGAGCCGCTTCCCGCCAAAAACATAAAGAACGCGCGCGCGTGCACGCGCGGGGCCATAAAGAGGAGTTATGAGCGAGGGGGGTGTGCGGGTGGGGGGGGGAGAAATGTGGGGGGAGGCGGCATGGCTGAAGGAGGTCAGCGATGGGATGGAGTGAGGGCAGGGGGGTCAGGGAGATGAGGCGAGTGGGCAGGGGTGAGAGGGCCTGGCTCCGGGGTGGAGGTGGCGGCGGGGGCCGCCGCCGCTCCGGGCTCTCCGGGGAGGCCCAGGTGGAGCTGGAATGGAGCTGCGTGGAGCGAGGCGGCGAGTGGGCGGTGGGGGGGAGACGGAGGAAGGCATCGTGGGTAGTGAACGGAGGGGATCGAGGGTGGATGGATGAAGGGGACGAGTCGGTGCTGCGGAGGGTGGATGGAGATTATCGGGTGAATGAGATGTAGAAAGGAAACAAGATGTTGTGTGGATGGCGGATGTACGAGTGGATAGAGCGGGAGATGATGATGGATGGTGAGCGGGGATGATGGACGAAGACGATTCAGGGCGAACTTAGTCGTAGTGGATATAGGGTGATGCAGGGAAAGAGCGGGGATGATGATGATGATGGTGTAAGTTGTACGGTGGATGTAGAAAGTGTAGGGTGGATGCAGGGGAGGAGCGGGGAAGATGGATGGAGGCGGGGGGCGGGCCGATAATTAAATGTTAATGCTTGCGCCCGTCTCCCTCGCGCCGCAGATTGCACAGGCCGTGTCGGGCGGCGGGCCGTGGGAGGTGTTTGATGGCTACGCGGCTCATGCAGTATTAACGCCAGAAGCATCGCGGCTCGTTAAGCAGCGCCGCGCCACGGTGGGGGGCGCGGGGGAGCGGAGGGGGGGGGGAGCTCCCTCCCCCAACTCCCCCCACCTCGGCACCCTCTCCCCTCCGTTCTCTCCGCCTCGTTGATCCGTGGCGCCCCCTTGCGGCCCACCGCGCACCCCCCTCGCTGCACGACACGCGGCGATTAACTCGTGTGATTTTTATTATTTCCAAGTTCGTGGACACGAGGTTTCCCTGCTGGGAGGAAGGGGGTCACACCGGGGTCCCCCAACCCCCCTTGACCCCCCCCTGCTCCCACCCCCGTCCCCCCTCTGCCTCCCGGCACCCCCACCCCCCTCGTCCCTTCAGCATCACGCGTCCTTTGCGCTGTCTCGCGACCGTGGGTCGCCCTCCGCCTCGCTGCCCTCCGTCTCGCTGTCCCCGCTGCTGGCGCCGCTGCTGCTGGCGCTGCTGCCGCCGGCGCTGTCTCCGCTGCTCTCACCGGTGCCCACGGGCGCCCGCCTCAACAGCAGCGCCGTCGCCGCCGCCGTCGCCGCCGTTCCCCCGGCCGCCGCGTGAATCCGGAGCGACTCGGCCGCCTCGCTTCCTCCCAGAAGCCCCTGGGGGGGGGGCTGGCCCGCCTCCCCGGCAGGGTCGGGCGACCGTCGGTCCGCGGAAGTCGGGGCTCCAGCCGCACCGGCGGTGGCGGCGGCCACACCCCGGGACCCCCCGGGGCCGCGCGTTGCCCTCCCCGGGGTCTCCTTGCCCGGGGCAACGAGGGGGGGGGCGGCAGCCGCTGGGGGTAGCGGGGGGCGAGGTGCAGCGGGAGCGCCGTCGGGAGAGGGGGCAGCCTCCACTTGAACTCTCTCCTCGTCCTCCGCGACTCTCTCCTCTTCCCGTCTTCGCTTCTCCTCCTGCACTCTCTCTTCTCGCACTCTCTCCTGCTCCTGCTCCTGAAGTCGCTTCTCTTCCCGAACTCTCTCTTCTTTCTCCCGGAGCCTTTGCTCTTTCAGAACTCTCTCTTCCTCCCTGATTCTTGCCTCTTTCCGCACCATCTCCTCCCGCACTCTCTCCTCTTCCCACACCATCTCCTCCCGAATTCTCTGCTCTTCCAGAATTCTCTTCTCTTCCAGAATTCTCTGCTCCTCCCGGACTCTCTCCTCCTCCCGGATCCTCTCCTCCTCACGCCGCTCTAGGAGATGGCAGCAGCAGAAGCAGCGTTTGGGAATGAGTCGTGTCCCCCCCAGCCAGAGTGGCGAGCGTGGTTCTGGTGTGCGGGTGGGTTGTGTGCGTTGTGCAGGGTATGTGTGGCCTGGTGTGCACAGTGTGGTGCAGAGTGTGTTCTGTGATGTGGTGTGCCGCATGTGTTGTTGTTATGGTATGAATGGGGTGTGATGTGCTTTGTATGGTGTGTGTGGATAGTGTGTCCGGTTTTCCGCATGTGCTGTGAGTGTGGTGTGCATGGTGTGTTTGGGTAGTGTGTATGGTGTGCATGGTGTGTGGGTAGTGTGTGTGGTGTGCATGGTGTGTGGGTAGTGTGTATGGTGTGCATGGTGTGTGGGTAGTGTGTGTGGTGTGCATGGTGTGTTGGTAGTGTGTGTGGTGTGCATGGTGTGCAAGTAGTGTGTGTGGTGTGCATGGTGTGCAAGTAGTGTGTGTGGTGTGCATGGTGTGTGGATAGTGTGTGTGGTGTGCATGGTGTGTGGGTAGTGTGTGTGGTGTGCATGGTGTGTGGGTAGTGTGTGTGGTGTGCATGGTGTGTGGGTAGTGTGTGTAGTGTGCATGGTGTGCTGCACTCACTGCGGTCTCTCTCCTCCTCCTTGTTCCGTACGAGTCTCTGCAGGAGCTCCACCTCAGAGAGTGCAGATTCCAGCGCTCGCTCGCTCGCCGCTACCTCACCGCACACCAGCTGCCAAGACACACGCACCAACACACACCCACAGCACCACACACACACATCCACAACACCCACTCACAACCAGAACACCACACACACCCATGCGGACACCCAATCAATCTCAAAAACATCACAACCACAACAAACCCCATTCGCCACGAAGCGGCGGTGACGTCGCCACGGCGCTCGTGCCAGGCTATGTGCAATTAAGGGCACGTGAAGCGCCGAACACGCGCTGCGTGCGAGTGCGAGAGCTCTTGGGCGTGCGCGTATGTATATGCGGGCGTCGGTGCGCAAGTGTAATTTGTGCGCGTGGGCTCGCGAGTGCTAACGTGTTGGGAGTGGGAGGATGAGCCCCCTGGGTGTGTACGAGTGACAGAGCGTGGGCCCAAGCGTGAAAGCGCATGCGAGTGAGCTTGTGTACGTGCGTGTTTGAGTGGTTGCGTGAGCGTGTCAGCGTGCATTTGCTCGTGAGTTTGAGCGTGAGTGTGCGAGTAGTGTGTCAATGTGCGAGTATTAGCCGGTGAGTGTGAGCGTGTCGTCAGCATGCGAGTATGAGTGACCGAGTGCAAATGTGAGCGCAACTGGGCTTGTTGTTTGTTAAAAGAGTGTACGTGTGTGTGTTTGAGCGCGTGAGTCTGTCAGATGCGCCGGCACCTGTAGACGTTCCTGCGTCGCGCTGTACATCTGGAAAATGCGCCGCACGTCACGCACGACCCCCTCTCCGTCCAGGAACTCCCCACTGCGGCACGGGTGACCGGGGCAGGGTGGGCAAGGGTGGATGAGCGTGTGCGCGGGTCAGTTCTGCTGCCGCTCGTGTGCGCAGGGTGCTTGGCGTGCGTGTAGGGTGCGTTTAACAACACACAATTGCTGAGCACAGGGCTCAAAGGCCCAAAACGCGAACAGACCAGCAACAATCAGCAATATCAAAGTTGTGATAGTTAACACGTTTCTTGAAATGAACACAGTTATTACAGAACTTTGGAGGGAAATTCCAAAGTTGACAGTGTGGTGGTTGTGTGCATGTGGTACGAGTGGTGCGTGTAATGTGTGTACCGTGTGTGTGTGGTGTGTGTGTGTGTGTATATATGGACTGTGCATCTGTACTCAGTGGAAATCTGTGTGAACTAACGTGAAGAGTTTGGGATGCGTGGAGTGAGCTGGGCGTGTGTCGTGTGGTGTGCGTGCCGTGTGGTGTGCGTGCCGTGTGGTGTGTGTGCCGTGTGGCGTGCGTGCCGTGTGGTGTGCGTGTCGTGTGGTGTGCGTGTCGTGTGGCGTGCGTGCCGTGTGGCGTGCGTGCCGTGTGGCGTGCGTGTCGTGTGGCGTGCGTGCCGTGTGGCGTGCGTGCCGTGTGGTGTGCGTGCGTGTGGTGTGCGTGCCGTGTGGTGTGCGTGCCGTGTGGTGTGCGTGCCGTGTGGTGTGCGTGTCGTGTGGTGTGCGTGCCGTGTGGTGTGCGTGCCGTGTGGTGTGCGTGCCGTGTGGTGTGCGTGCCGTGTGGTGTGCGTGCCGTGTGGTGTGCGTGTCGTGTGGTGTGCGTGCCGTGTGGTGTGCGTGCCGTGTGGTGTGCGTGCCGTGTGGTGTGCGTGACGTGTGGTGTGCGTGCCGTGTGGTGTGCGTGCCGTGTGGTGTGCGTGCCGTGTGGTGTGCGTGCCGTGTGGTGTGCGTGCCGTGTGGTGTGCGTGCCGTGTGGCGTGCGTGTCGTGTGGCGTGCGTGCCGTGTGGTGTGCGTGCCGTGTGGCGTGCGTGCCGTGTGGTGTGCGTGCCGTGTGGCGTGCGTCGTGTGGTGTGCGTGTCGTGTGGTGTGCGTGCCGTGTGGTGTGCGTGCCGTGTGGTGTGCGTGCCGTGTGGTGTGCGTGCCGTGTGGTGTGCGTGCCGTGTGGTGTGCGTGCCGTGTGGTGTGCGTGCCGTGTGGTTTGCGTGCCGTGTGGTGTGCGTGTCGTGTGGTGTGCGTGCCGTGTGGCGTGCGTGCAGTGTGGTGTGCGGCGTGCTGACCTGTGCTCGGCGGCGAGCTCTGTGAAGTGCCGCGAGGTGTTGGGCACGGCGGACAGGAGGTAGTCCTGCTGAGCCAAGTTCCCCAGGTTCCTGATCGTCAGAGGCACTCGCGGCTGAGACCTGCGCACACATGCCGTAGGGATTCTCATGGCGGTCGTTATGCTGTGGGGGGTCATGAGAGGGCTGTGGATGACGCTATGGCGGCTGTGAGCCGGATGTGGGTGATCCTATGGGGACTGTGAGACAGCTGTGGGTGATACTATGGAGGTCACGGGAGAGCTGTGGGCGATGGTGTGGACCGACCTGCGGCTCGGCTGGAACATGACGTATTCCAGAGCGTGGGTCGAGTGGTTGGCGGTCGACAGGAACCCAAACAACAGGAACACCAGGTCCGGTTTCCCCAAAACCTGGCACAGGTTCCGGTGGACCTGGGTCTCACGGAACGTCAGCTGCTGTGATGTGTTCCGTCGGAACCGGTACCAGCCAAGGAGAGACTGCGAGACGCACACACAAAGACAGAGATCGCCCGTACAGCCTTTAGCAGACTGTTGGGGCAAGTGCTGTTAGCGAGCACCTATGAAGGCCGGCACGGCACATGAGGCAGTGGGTGGCCAACACCACGCCCGGCCGCCTTTGTCTCCCTAGTGGCGATGCTCGCACATCGCACCGGGTACTCATTTGAGGCTGAGTCGACCTAGGGGAGGCCCAGGACCGGTTTAGATAATCGTCACTGGTGTTGGCCGTGAGCAGGAATCGAACCTGGGTCGCAAGGTTCGTAGCGCAGCGCGATAACCGCTACACTACCGCTCCCCACAAACACACACGCGCGTGTGAGCACGCAGCCGGTCAAGTACACACAGCCGGTCACACACAGAAACACGCACGCACACACACGCGCAGCCAGTTGTACCTGCACACTCACCCAGCACGGGCGGGCACAGGTACCTTATACACTTGCCGTGTACACGTGTGCGCGTTCAGAAACGTGCGTGTACACATGTGCACGTTCAGACACGTTTGTGCAGACGCATGCATGCGCGTCACCAACCTTGCTGTGCTCTCTCAGGAGGTTCTCCACCGTGGCCTTGTCCACTTTTCCAACGCCGTCGTAAAAACTGCACCGCACCACGCAGCGCCGTGCCCCGGGACCACACGGGAGATGCCGCATAAGTTCACCAGCAGTGGCGCGACGCTCCTCACACGACGCCCGCAACACGATGCCCGCAACCCCGTGCAACGCGACGGCCACAGATGCTCACAACGCAACACCCGTGACGCTCGCAACCAGGACCCTCACAGCACAACAATCCCAACGCGGCACGGACACCGCCAGCAGACAACGCATGCACAATGAGCCACTCGCAACACGATGACCACAACACGACGCGCATGACAGGCACCGTAATTGTGAGCACTTAATAAACAACACCAGAGTAGAGGCCTCATGCACGGTTAGGGTTAGGGTTGGGACCAGGATTAGGGTGAGGGTTGAGGTCAGTGTTAGGAATCAGAGACTCACCTGGAGGGTCGTAAGCAAGGCAGGTGGCCATGGATCTCTGCAGCACACATGCGCACACGCACACACGCGCACACACACACACATACAGATGCATGCCCGTACGGACGGCCATTCACGCACGTGCGCTCACACGCAAGGGGAAACTGATACCCACGTATGCACACGCGTGCACACATAAACAGGTACGCACGCTTGCATATATAGACATGTTCACACACGCACACACACAGGTACACGCAGACAGACACCCACCCACAATCGCACACACACATAACCTCAATGCACACAGACGTGTACACACAGACATGTACACACACACGGAGTAGTGAGCAGGACGAGACAAGAGGACCCAGGTCACATGCGGGAGTCAGGGGGCCGTAGGGGCGACCGAGCTGCTGGGGGGTTGGTGGCACGCAGTGCGACGGAAGGGAAGGGAGGACTCACCGATGTGCGTGCGCTGCTCCGTGTTGTTCAGGTGAGTGTCGCTGATGATCACCACCCGCTCCTCTCGCTCACCTCCGAGCAGAAAGCCCTCCTACACACACAAAGACAAAGATCCCCGTATAGCCTTTCATATACTGTCGGGGCAAGTGTTGTGAGCACATATGAAGGATGACACTGGCACACGAGGAAGTGGGTGGCCAACACCACGCCCGGACGTCTTTGTCTCCCCAGTGATGTTTACCCAACTGATTTACGGCTGAGTCTACCCAGGACCGGTTGAAATATTCATTGGTTGCTTGGGGGAAATCGAACTGGGGACACTGGGTTCTTAGTGCAGTGCGCTAACCACCACACTACCGTCCCCCCCACCACACACACGCACGCAGGAGGTATTCACACACATGTGATCAACCTGGGAAGCACCACACAGGCGCAGAAAGATCCCTCAAACAAGAAATTGAACGCACACTCTCATAAGTCATGTGACTCTGTCGCACGGACCCATGCAAAGTTATTCACGTGTGTTACGTACCTGTCAACCCATACGGTTTACCCGTCTTCTGGTACAGGGAAATAGAGTTTTCAGGTACAAACAGCATACAGCCGTTTTAATGCGGAGTTTGTAGGATGAACTTTGAGATTTATAAGGGCACGGGGTGACCAATAAGGTCTGAATTGGTCTGTAACACCGCACCAGGTACTCGTTTGAGACTCAGTCTACCTAGGGGAGTCCCAGAACCGGTTCAGATAATGGTCACGGGTGTTGGTGGCCGTGGCCAGGAATCGAACTCGGGTCGCCGGAATCTTAGCGCAGCGCTGCGGGCCAACCACAACACGACCGCCCCCCACCACCACCACCGCCCCCCACCACCACCGCCCCCCACAAACAATCGCCCCCCACCACCACCGTCCCCCACCACCACCGCCCCCCACAAACAATCGCCCCCACCACCGTCCCCACCACCACCGTCCCCCCACCACCACCGTCCACCACCACCACCGCCCCCCACCACCACCATCGTCCCCCACCACCATCACCTGCGACCATCACTATCGGCGTCTATTTCCGCGTCGTCGAACCAGGAACTGGAGCCACCCCCCGGCGCTTCTCCGCTGGGCCGGGACCCCCAGAATCCCCTTCAGCCCCTTCGCTCACCGTGACCTGGCCGCCTCCTGCCCCCCCCCACTCCACCCCGTATACCCCCTCGACACGCCGAACCAAGACTTCCCCAATCCCAATTGATGCTCTTCTCCGATCCCCTCGATTCCACACGGACACTCGCGGTTTCGCTCTCCCCCTGGTCACAGGGATCCCTGATCCCTGTGACCGGTCCCCTACCCGCCTCACCTGATCCCCCCCCCCTGCCCCCCCCCTGGTCCCCCTACACCTGGTCCCTGATCCCTGTGACCGGTCCCCTACCCGCCTCACCTGATCCCCCCCCCCCCTGCCCCCCCCTGGTCCCCCTACACCTGGTCCCTGATCCCTGTGACCGGTCCCCTACTCGCCTCGCCTGATCCCCCCCCCCTGGTCCCCCCCTTGGTCCCCCTACACCTGGTCCCTGATCCCTGTGACAGGTCCCCTACTCGCCTCGCCTGATCCCCCCCCCTGCCCCCCCCCTGGTCCCCCGCCACCTGATCCCCCTACACCTGGTCCCTGATCCCTGTGACAGGTCCCCTACTCGCCTCACCTGATCCCCCCCTGGTCCTCCTACACCTGGTCCTGATCCCCCTCACACCCTCGAGCCCAAATCTGGAACCTGCGGTCCACCAATCCCTCTGTCTGGTTCCATTACTGGAACATCAACCCCCTCCCCCCACCCCGATTCCTGTAAAAGATCCCCTCGTCCCCGTTATCCCCTCGCTCCCCACATCGCTCCCCTGATCCCCTTGAACCCCTTCATTCTCCTCTCCCTGGTATGTTCAAGATTAGGTGACCCCCGTATCGGGTCTCATCTCCTGCTTGGTCCCCTCTGATTCCCTGCGCGCCAGGTCCCATTGATCCTCTTATCGGCCCCCTACACCAGGTCCCCTTGATCCTCTACTCGGCCCCCTACACCAGGTCCCCTTGATCCTCTACTCGGCCCCCTACACCAGGTCCCCTTGATCCTCTACTCGGCCCCCTACACGAGGTCCCCTCGATCCCCTTGCCCCTCTTCCTGGTCTCATCACACCACTGATGCGAACCCCCCCCCCCCCCTTCGTTCCACAGATCCCCCGATTCCTGTCACTGATCGCCTTGATCCCCGCGGCCCCCCTTCTGTTCCCCGTATTCCCCTGATCCCCTCTGATCCCCGTACCTGGTCCCCCGATCCTCCGAGCTGCTCCAGCACCAGGGTCGCGACCGCGGGGCCCGAAGCCCAGGCGGCGGCCATGACGGCGGGCGCAGTGCGCATGCGCGGGACGAGCACTGCGATTCTTGCGTTTCAGGGACACACACAGAGACACACACAGAGTGTCATAGAGACACACAGAGACACACACAAAGTGTCATAGAGACACACACAGAGTGTCACAGAGACACACACAGAGACACACACAGAGAGTCATAGAGACACACACAAAGTGTCATAGAGACACACACAGAGTGTCACAGAGACACACACAGAGTGTTATAGAGACACACACAAAGTGTCATAGAGACACACACAGAGTGTCACAGAGACACACACAGAGTGTCACAGAGACACACACAGAGACACACACAGAGTATCATAGAGACACACAGAGACACACACAAAGTGTCATAGAGACACACAGAGACACACACAAAGTGTCACAGAGACACACACAGAGACACACACAGAGTGTCATAGAGACACACAGAGACACACACAGAGTGTCATAGAGACACACACAAAGTGTCATAGAGACACACACAGAGTGTCACAGAGACACACACAGAGACACACACAGAGAGTCATAGAGACACACAGAGACACACACAAAGTGTCATAGAGACACACACAGAGTGTCACAGAGACACACACAGAGAGTCATAGAGACACACAGAGATACACACAAAGTGTCATAGAGACACACACAGAGTGTCACAGAGACACACACAGAGACACACACAGAGTATCATAGAGACACACAGAGACACACACAAAGTGTCATAGAGACACACACAGAGTGTCATAGAGACACACACAGAGACACACAGAGAAATACAGAGTGTCATAGACACACAGAGACACACACAGAGACACAGAGACTCATAGAGACACACAGAGACTCATAGAGACACGCAGAGACACACAGAGTGTCATAGAGACTCACACAGAGTGTCATAGAGACACACAGAGACACACACAGAGACACACACACACACAGAGTGTCATAGAGACACAGAGATACACAGAGTGTCATAGAGACACACACAGAGACACACAGTGTCATAGAGACACACAGAGACACACAGAGTGTAATAGACACACAGAGACACACACAGAGACACACAGAGTGTCATAGAGACACACACAGAGACACATAGTGTCATAGAGACACACAGAGACACACAGAGACACAGAGTGTAATAGACACACACAGAGTGTCATAGAGACAGACACACAGAGACACATACAGACACACAGAGTGTCATAGAGACACACACAGACACACAGAGTGTCACATAGACAGTGAGGGTTCATAAAGATTCACAGAGCCAGACAACGACATGTATCGTGTAATAGAGTCCGAGGTCACGTGTCAGAGATCCAGACACCGAGAATCTCACAGAGCCGCACGCTGCGGCCGCAGGGAGCCAGGCCGAGCCTCGCGCTCCCGCCGGGCCCCAGGAGAGGGCGCTCGCTGCCCTCTCCCGGGGTGCCGCCGCAGTGCGGCCAGCAGGGGGCGCTCGTGCAGAGGGGCAGTGCCACTCACAGCCCCAACCCAGCCCCAACCCAGCCCTAACCCAGCCCTATTCCTAACCCAGCCCTAACCCAGCCCTAACCCAGCCCTATTCCTAACCCAGCCCTAACCCAGCCCTAACCCAGCCCAGCCCTAACCCAGCCCTAACCCAGCCCTATTCCTAACCCAGCCCTAACCCAGCCCTATTCCTAACCCAGCCTGAGCCCTAACCCAGCCCTAACCCAGCCCTATTCCTAACCCTGCCTGAGCTCTAACCCAGCCCTAACCCAGCCCTATTCCTAACCCTGCCTGAACTTTAACCCAGCCCTATTCCTAACCCTGCCTGAACTCTAACCCAGCCCTAACCCAGCCCTAACCCAGCCCTATTCCTAACCCTGCCTGAACTCTAACCCAGCCCTAACCCTGCCTTAACTCTAACCCAGCCCCAACCCAGTGATATTCCTAACCCTGCCTGAACTCTAACCCAGCCCTAACCCTGCCTTAACTCTAACCCAGCCCCAACCCAGTGATATTCCTAACCCTGGCCTGAACTCTACCCAGCCCGAACCCTGCCTTAACTCTAACCCAGCCCCAACCCAGTGATATTCCTAACCCTGCCTGAACTCTAACCCAGCCCTAACCCTGCCTTTACTCTAACCCAGCCCCAACCCAGTGATATTCCTAACCCTGCCTGAACTCTAACCCAGCCCTAACCCTGCCTTAACTCTAACCCAGCCCCAACCCAGTGATATTCCTAACCCTGCCTGAACTCTAACCCAGCCCTAACCCTGCCTTTGCTCTAACCCAGCCCCAACCCAGTGATATTCCTAACCCTGCCTGAACTCTAACCCAGCCCTAACCCTGCCTTAACTCTAACCCAGCCCCAACCCAGTGATATTCCTAACCCTGCCTTTACTCTAACCCAGCCCCAACCCAGTGATATTCCTAACCGTGCCTTTGCTCTAACCCAGCCCTATCTTAAACCCAACCCTAACAAATCCCTATCCCCTAACCCAACCCAAACTCTAACCCTTAACCCATCCATAACTCTAGCCAAGATCGGGGTTGACAAAACCCATCATTCCGACGGGGTCGATTAAATTAGTACCAATTCACGACGAAGTGAACCGCATTTTTTCTTACGGACAAACGCGACCCCACCATAAGAATGTGGAATTGACACCTCTGGCTCGGCAGGGCTGTAAACAGGAGATGGGCACCAATGCCTCGATGGCCACTTGAGCAGGAACCCACTTTGACTCGTTTTAGTCGTGGCTGCAGTGCACTCACTCTACCACCTCGTCGCCATCGCCTCCTTCCTTCTGCCAACTCCCACCCCCACCTGGCCTCAGGCCTTCCCCCCCATAGTCGCACAGCCGACGCGTCCTTCAACCCGCACTTTGGCTCCATGCGCGCCTCGCGCCGCGTGTGTGACGATCTTCCTGTGGCCGTTTGTCAGCCCGCTACTATACACTATACACTACTATACTCCACACTACTATACACTATACACTACTATACTCCACACTACGATACACTATACACTACTATATACTACACTACTATACACTACTATACTCCACACTACTATAAACTAGTATACACTATACACTACTATACTCCACACTACTATAAACTAGTATACACTATACACTACTATACTCCACACTACTATACACTACTATACTAAACAGGTACTATACACTACACTGGACACTACTATACACTACTATACATTATGCTACTATACTAAACACGTACTATACACTCTACTACTATACACTCTACTACTATACACTGCACCACTATGCACTACTATACACTACTATACATTATACTACTATACATTATACTACTATACACTACTACACTATACACTACACCACTATGCACTACTATACACTACTATACATTATACTACTATACATTCTACTACTATACACTACTACACTATACACTACACCACTATGCACTACTAGACACTACTATACATTATACTACTATACATTCTACTACTATACACTACTACACTATACACTACACCACTATGCACTACTATACACTACTATACATTATACTACTATACATTCTACTACTATACACTACTACACTATACACTACACCACTATGCACTACTATACACTACTATACGTTATACTACTATACACTCTACTACTATAGTAACTATACACTACACTACTACATTACACCACTATGCACTACTATACACTACTATACACTCTACTACTATACACTACACTACTACATTACACCACTATGCACGACTATACACAGACTCCAGCTCTTCCTCGGGAATTCCCAGGCGTTCCTGGGCCAGCCGAGCGACGTCGTCCCGCCAGCAGCAGCAGTAGCAGCAGCAGTAGCAGCAGCAGTAGCAGCAGTAGCAGCAGCAGTAGCAGCAGCAGCAGTAGCAGCAGCAGCAGTAGCAGCAGCAGCAGTAGCAGCAGCAGCAGTAGCAGCAGCAGCAGTAGCAGCAGCAGTAGCAGCAGCAGCAGCGTGGCCTGGGCCGGCCCCAGTGGCACGTGCTGCTGCTGCTGCTACTGCTGCTGCTGCCCGGTTCAGCTCCAGGGGGAGTCGACCGGGGGGGGCACCCTGGCCAGGCGCTGGCATTTACTAACTCAGCATCATCACTATCATCATCAAACACATGCTCATCCGTATCATCACCATCATCAACATAACAATAACAATTCAGACATCAACATCATTATCATCATCATCCACATCATGAGACGTCATCCATATCCTCACATCGTGAACATCATCATCACAGACACCGTCATCATCGGCAACATAATTATTACCGTCGACTTCATCATTATCTGCCGTCATCATCATCATTTATTTGACCATTAACAGCGGGAGAACTTTAGACGGAATTAGGATCATGACCCCCCCCCCCCCCCGCTGTGAGACCGCCCTCAGCCCCCACCCCGCAAGACTCCTCCCCCCCACCCCGCCCCCCGCGAAGAGCAAATCCTGCCAATCAGAGCGGGACCCCCCCGCGAGGCGGCGCGCGCTGAATTCAGAACGACCCAATCAGCGCGCGGCATCGCTGCCATGAGCGCGCGACCCCCCCGGCGCACGTGGCCCCGGGGGGTATAAAAGCGCGAAGGGGACGCGGCGCGCTCAGAGGGGGTCCGGGACCCGGGGACAGAGGGAGTCGAGGGGTACTCAGAGAGACTGGAGCGAGGTGAAATCGGTATTAGAGAGCGACTCTGCGACTAAAGAATCAGGGGGGCATAGGGAACGCAGAGGCACAGGGGATCCAGGAGACACAATCAATCAATAAAACACAAGAACCCAGAGAGACTGGCTGGCATCAGAGACGCAAGTGTCAAAGACTCAAAAATCAGAGGCACTGGGGAACCCGGTTTCACCCCGAGACACGTGGACCCAGAGACATCGAGGAATTAGAGGCACTGAGGTTCAGAGACACTGGAACCAGGGACACTGGGAGAGAGAAGAGACACGAAACTAACGACACAAGAAGCGGAGACACAGAAACTGAGAGACGTTGGAACAAGAGACACGAGGTTCGGAGAGAGACGCGAGAATTCATGAAACCCGGGTCTCTGTGAAGCGGAGACGAACGCAGAAACCAGGGTTAGCTCCACAGGGACTTGGGGACCCCTTGAGTCGAGGGACTCCCTCCTGCACCCCCGGCGCGCGCGATGCTGGCCACGGGACCCTCACTGGAGGCGCCGCGCTCGGCCGCCTTCCACCCCCACCACCTCGCACACCAGCACAGCAACCACAGCAGCCACTATAGCCAACAGCAGCACCAGCATCATCATCAGCATCACGCCCTGCACCCTCTCCACCAAGAGAAGGAGGCAGAAGGGGGGAAGGGCTACCCAGCCGCGCTCAAACCCCCGTCCGCCACCGCCGCCGCCGCGATCACCGCCCTGCACGGCACCCGGCAACCCAGCGCCACCCCGCACGGCATCAACGACATCCTAAGCCGCCCCAGCGTCTGCGGGGGGGCACTGCCCCCCAGCGCGCAGACGGCGCTGCCCTGCCGCCTCGTGTCGGGGCCCGGCGCTCTGCTGCCCGCGCCGGCGGGGGGTCTCTACCTGGGCTCGTTGCAGGGCGCCGCGGCCAGGCTGGGCAAGTCCCTGGAGGAGCTGGCGGCGGGCGCCGCCGGCTGCAGGGCGCTGGGGGAGCTCCCCGCTGGAATGGGGGGCAGGGCCCCTCTGCTGTGGCCGGGCGTCCTGGCGGCACCGGCGTGGGCGCACGCGGCGGCGCGCATCGCCACGGGTAGGGCGGCGGCGGCGGCGGCTCCCCTCGACCCGACACGCGCGAACCCGGTCACCGACAAGATTGCGATCACGGATCTCTCTCGCGCGTGCACATTGATGTTACAGATTCTCTATCCCGGTTCCAAATGTGGCCCCTGTCATCCAGATTCTAAATCCAGATCTCACGTCCGGGGTTGCCACCTGTCCCGGTTTGACCCGGACTGTCCGGGTATTGGAAACGGTGTTCGGGTGGTGGGAATTGATTTGTACCGCGATTTTGCGCGAGTAGATCTATGGCGACTGTCCCGGGTTTGGTTTGTAGGAAAAGGTGGTAACTCCTACCACTCACCCATCGCACTCACTGATTCACCCTCTCACTCACTCACTCACCCACTCACTCACCCTCTCACTCACCCTCTCACTCACCCTCTCACTCACCCGCTCAATCCCTCACACCCTATCGTTGCCACCTGAATTGGCATTCTGTGATCGGTGAGCAGTAATTGATTCGTAACCGAGATGTGGTACCGGCATTCTGTGAGCCTTATTACAGTCTAAACCAGACCTCGTGCAGTCTGGTTTAGACTGCAGTGGAAAAGGTGGCAACTCCATCTCGGCCAGATCCCTCGACCAAACTCCACATCGAGGTTCAACATCCAGATTCAGAATCTTTCATTCGGGTCCTTCGTGTCTTGCGTTGCGTTTGACAGGTGTGGCTGGAGAGAGGAGTGTGTGTGATTCACGTATGTGTGATTCACGTATGTGTGATTCACGTGTGTGTGATCCACGTGCGTGTGTGTGATCCACGTGCGTGTGTGTGATTCACGTGTGTGTGTGTGATTCACGTGTGCTGTGTGTGTGATTCACGTGTGTGTGTGTGATGCACGTGTGTATGATTCGTGTGTGTGTGTGTGATTCACGTGTGTGTGATTCGTGTGTGTGTGTGATCCACGTGTGTGTGTGTGATGCACGTGTGTATGATTCGTGTGTGTGTGATTCATACGTGTGTGTGTGTGATTAGTGTGTGTGTGTGATCCACGTGTGTGTGTGTGTGATCCCCGTGTGTGTGTGTGTGTGATTTATACGTGTGTGTGTGATTCACGTGTGTGTGTGTGATTCACGTGTGTGTGTGTGTGTGATTCACGTGTGTGTGTGTGTGTGATTCACGTGTGTGTAATTAACGTGTGTGTGTGTGTGTGATTGACGTGTGTGTGTGTGATCCACGTGTGTGTGTGTGATTCACGTGTGTGTATGATCCACGTGTGTGTGTGTGTGAGATCCACGTGTGTGTGTGTGTGATTCACGTGTGTGTGTGAGATCCACGTGTGTGTATGATCCACGTGTGTGTGTGATCCACGTGTGTGTGTGTGTGAGATCCACGTGTGTGTGTGATTCACGTGTGTGTGTGTGATTCACGTGTGTGTGATCCACGTGTGTGTGTGAGATCCACGTGTGTGTGTGTGTGTGTGAGATCCACGTGTGTGTGATCCACGTGTGTGAGATCCACGTGTGTGTGTGTGATCCACGTGTGTGTGTGTGTGTGATCCACGTGTGTGTGTGTGAGATCCACGTGTGTGTGATTCGGCACTCGTGAATTGTTAATTCCGCCGTACAGTCGCGACACGTGTATGTGTGAGTCGCGACACGCGTGTGTGTGATTCACGTGTGTAATGTGCGTGCGTGTGTGTGGACTGTACTTGTCTGTGCTCATGCGGATGAGTACGAGTGGGGAGCGGTGGCGCAGTGCTTAGCTTACTGCCCAACATCGATGATGAAATATGAACCGGTCATTGGCCTCCCCCTAAGTCGACTCAGCCTCAAATGAGTACCTGCTGCTATGTGTAAACATCGCCACTGGGGAGACAAAGGCGGCCAGGCGTGGTGCTGCCGTCCCGGCCTTCATAGGTGATCGCTAGCAGTATGTGCCCCAACAGTCTGATAAAGGCTTTCGGGGTGATCTTTGTTGTATGAGAGTACGCACACACGCGTGTGTGTGTGTGATTCACGTGTGTACGTGTGTACGCGGTAGTTCGCGGTGTGGGTAGCCCCCCCCTAGTGGGTAGCCCCCCCCCCTAGTGGGTAGCCCCCTCCCTGCGTTACCAACTAGACGATCAATAACAGTGGCGATTATTTGAACCGGTCCTGGGCTCCTCCTAGGTCGGCTCAGCCTGTAATGAGTTCCTGGTGCGGGTGGTTTTGTAAACATGAGCGCTGGGGCGACAAAGGCGTGTGGCGCGTCGCCCTTCACGTGGACAGCGACGCGGTTCACGCGAGTGACATCATCATCATCGCGAATTATCCGCTGCTGCTGCTACCGAGTTGACAGTGGTGCACAAACAACAACAACACGCTCCGTGTCAATACCTACAACAACAACAACACGCTCCGTGTCAATACCGACAACAACAACTTAACACCCGTGCGCGTACGTGGCCTTAAAGATAAAAAGTAATATGATAGGCGACGTTTCGGGCAATTGTCCTCTCTGCCCTTCTTCACAGCACATGGACTTAATGGAGGAGCGAGCGAGGTGATGTGATGGATATGATAAACTTGATTATTTTAAAGGTCACACACACACAGTGTGATTGACACACGTGTGTCGGCGTTATCTATGTAATGGGTGTGATTACAAGTAAGGAGACGATATCGATTTTGGTATCAAATAATTTTTTGTAAAATTAGAAAACTGTTTTCATGCCTGAATTAAATAATAATAATATCACATACACATCGCATCACTGATGCATATACCGTGTCAATCCCACTGCTGGATGATTTCCTCCCCACGTCAGCCGTGGGGTTTACTTGACCATACTTCACCACGCTGGTCATTAGTGGGGGGGGGGGGGGGGAGTCGTGGGGACGCCAGGACCGGTTCAGATACCACTCGCCACTGATGTTAGCCGTAGAATCGAACTCTGTTCGCAGCGCGCTAACTACTGCGCCACCGCTCAATCCATCCACCGTGTACACGTTGTACGAACCCGTGTCGCACGTGCGCGTGTGTGCACGTATAGGTCGACTCAGCCTGAAATAAGTACCTGGGCGGGGTGGGGGAGACAAAGGCGGCCGGGCGTGGTGCTGGCCACTCACCCCTCGTGCGCCGTGCTGGCCTTCATAGGTGCTCGCTAACAGCACTTGCCCCAACAGTCCGTTTAGGCTACACGGGGGATTCTGTACAGAAATGGGGTTTGTGTTGTATATGTGCGACTATATTATGATTGTTGTCGTGGAACATACAGAAATATATGTGCGTGTAACACTTTTGGCATCTTAAAGTTTAAATTATGTTGCATTTAATAAATGGTATTAAGTATGTGTTGTGTGTATCGCATATTGTATTAAGTATGTAACACACAATATGTATATTGTGTATGTTTGTGTGGGTAGTTTGGGGGGCGGTAGTGTAGCGGTTAGCGCTACGCTGCGCTACGAACCCAGCAACCCGAGTTCGATTCCCGCTCACGGCCAACACCGGTGACGATTATCTGAATTGGTCCCGGGCCTCCCCTCGGTCGACTCGGCCTCAAATGAAGTACCTGTTGCGGTGCGTAAACATCGCCACTGGGGAGACAAAGGCGGCCGGGCGTAGTGCTGGCCACCCACCCCTCGTGTGCCGAGCCGGCCTTCATAGGTGCTGCTGCTTACTAACAGCACTTGCCCCAACATTCTGTTCAGACTACACCGGGGATCTTTGTGTTTGTAGTTTGTGTATGTTGTGTTTACTCTCTCGTGTATGTTGTGTTCATGCGTTCGTACGATATCATTAAATTGTGTTTCGCATGTGCATCTATTTTACATTGCTTTGTGCATGTGTTATTATTGTGTTTAGATTGTAATGTGTGTTGTGTGTGTGTGTTATTGTGTTTAGATTGTAATGTGTGTTGTGTTTAGATTGTAATGTGTGTTGTGTGTGTGTGTTAAGTGTGTGTGTGAGTTATTGTGTTTAGATTGTAATGTGTGTTGTGTGTGTGAGTTATTGTGTTTAGATTGTAATGTGTGTTGTGTGTTTGAGTTATTGTGTTTAGATTGTAATGTGTGTTGTGTGTTAAGTGTGTGTGTGTTAGTTTGGTGTCTTTCTCCCGCACCTCCGATTAGCACGGTTAGCTACGTACGGCGCGAATGAAATTCAACATATGTAAGGTATATTGAGTTTGTGTGGTTAGTTTGTGTTGACTTACATTTGTGTTTTGTGCACGCATTGTATAATGCACTGTGTGTGGTGTGTTACGCCTGCGTTGTGTGCATTGTATATTGTGTAGATGTGTTGATACTCTTAGGTTCTTTCGGTAAATTCACGTAGGTAGACAATAATCGATCACGACGTTTCGATCGCAACACAAGCAGCCGTCATCAGGTGGGACAACCACAGCAAGAAAGAACTGCTGAAGTTGGGCCCACTTCAGCAGAGTATGGATTCCTGCAGTCACGATCAATATGTGTGTTGAGTTTGTGCTGTGTTACAACTGCGGCTTGCATGAGAGTGACCGCTCGCGGCCATCCCTCACCATCGTCACCCTCGTCACCCTCACCATGGTCACCCTCACCATGGTCACCCTCACCATGGTCACCCTCACCCTCGTCACCCTCACCATGGTCACCCTCTCACCATCGTCATCCTCCCAGGGCAACCTCTAATCTACCGGGCCCCCCATTCGCCCCCGGGCCCCTCCCTATGTTCCTGTGTGCAAGATGTGTGTGTTGTGTGCGTGGTGTGTTGTCCGTGTTGTGTTGTGCGTGTTGTGTTGTGCGTGTTGTGTGTTGTGCGCGTTGTGTGTTGTGTGGGGCGCTAGGTGGTAACCTAGCAGCCAGCTTCTTCCGCTTTCTGTCGGCTTTAGCGTCACACTTCTCCCGGGGTCGGTTCGCCAATATTGCGGGGCCTGTGTGCGTGCGAGTGTGTGCACGGTTCAACTTCTTTCGCGCACCGCACGTAGCCAACCGTGCTGATCGGATGTTCCGGGGGAAGGACCCCAAACTAAACACTACAGCGACAAAGTACCACGAGCAGTTTGTAGAGAAATGCCCTCTCGTTGTGTCCGTCGAGCGATGTGGAACCCCGGGAGGCTGAGGCTGCCCCCCCCCCCGGGGCGATAAGAACGCCACTCGGCGTCTGCGCACTTAGAGCTTGCGAGGCCAGAATTGGGAGCACGTGGAGACTTGGTTCAGAAGTTATTTTACAGTCAGAGGCTCCACCATACATTGGTGCCAAATGTTCTGCCTCCATCGCTTCTAGAACATCAATTAAATGCAGCCCCCCCCCCACCAAACAACCACCCCTGGTGGGTATCCCCTCCCAGCCCGGGGGGGTCGCCAGCCTGCGGCTCCAGAGCCGCGTGCGGTGGCTCCTTAAAGCTCTTAAAGCTCCGCTGCCTCGTGGCCGTCTTTAAATTAAGTACGCCACCACCACCACCTCCACCACTATCTCCACCAACAACACCTCCACCACCTCCATCACCAACAACAACACCTCCACCACCACCACGCCCTCCACCGCCTCCACAACCTCCACCACCACCTCTAACCACCACTACCTCCACCACCTCCACTACCTCCACCACCTCCTCCACCACCCCCTCCACCACCCCCTCCACCGCCCCCTCCACCGCCCCCTCCACCGCCTCCACCACCACCGCCACCACCTCTACCACCTCTAACCACCTCTAACCACCACCACCTCCCCCGCCTCCACCACCGCCTCCTCCGCAACCTCCTCCGCCACCACCGCCTCCACCACCGCCGTCTCGACGTACCACCCCACCACGTGCGTTGAAGTATCGATTATTTTTTTTTCTCAACGAAATCGAAGAAAAGTTATCTTATTGTTCTAGCCCTTTTAGAACAATATGACGATATATTCTTTGGTTCTTTCGGTAAAGTCACGTAGAAAAACAAATATGACGCGAACACACACATACATCATGAGTGTGTGTGTGGCACATGCTGTCTGTGTGTATGTGGCACATGCTGTCTGTGTGTGTGTGTGACACATGCTGTCTGTGTGTGTCGTGCAGCGGTTATGCACTGCACAACAAACCCGGCCACCCGAGTTCGAGTCCCACTCACGACCAATAACAACCGGTCGTGGGCCTCTCCTAGGTCGACTCAACCTCAAATGAGTACCTGATACGGTGTTTAGTAAACATCGCCACTGGGGAGACGAAGGCGGACGGGCGTGGTGCTGGCCACCCCACCCCCTCGTGTGCCGTGCCGGCCTTCATAGGTGGTAGTCGTTAATAACAGCTCTTGCCCCAACAACCTGCTAAAGTCTATGCGGGGGATCTTTGTCTTTGTGTATATAGAGCCGCGTGGCCGGTAGGATGCGAGCGCGTGCAAACTGCGTGGTGTAAATGTAAGCACACAACGCGCATGCAGCGTATGCCTCTACACGTGGTATGTGTACTCGAGTTGACGATTGATAACTGTAAAATAAATAAATAATCCGTTAACCGGTTTCAGGGATCAATTACCGGCTCTGCAAGTCGCTAGAGCCATCGGTCTCGCAGTGGACATTGAAGTTGTTGTTGCCCTCGTGACTCCGTTAGAGGGTCAAGGCGCGGCCCTGCAAATGCTCGCCCACGCCACCCCCTGCTGGTGGGAGGGGCCTCTGGGCGGGGGGGGGGGTGAGGCGGGGGGGGGTAAGGCGGGGGGGGGGTGAGGCGGGGGGGTATTTAAGAGAAATGGCCCCCACTGCTTCGCCTGCCGCGCCGGGAGCTGGAGTCGAACTGGCGCCGTCTGGATCGCGAGGCCAACGGGGCTGGGCTCACTTGTTTATCTCCATAGCGAGGCGCTGTCTGGATGTGCGGCAAACCGGTAACCGCTATTTTGAAAACCGGTTTTCACACCGTTAACGGTACTTAAAATATAAAAAAAAACATCGGCTGTATTGGATATAAATTGTATTTTTAGTTGGTATTGTGAGTGTGTACGGTGTAGTGCGTATGTATGTGTATATTGTGTACCTATGTAGAAATTTAGTGTATATATTGTGGCATTGAGTAGTGTGTACTATGTATATGTGTGCATTATGTATGTATATGTGTGTATTGTGTATGTGTGCATAGTGTGTATTGTGTATATCCAGCATGTGTGTATGTGCGCAGTCCACGCACAATGCACACACGAACACACACAACTACTTGGAAATCAAAAAAGTGCAATCGGCGACGTTTCGGGCAATGCCCCTTCTTCACAGCACAATTGGCGACCGCCATAACATTGTTATCTGTGTTCCCAACGCAGCCGACGATGTCGCCCACAACACAGCAGGCGGATGAGATGATTTGCACGCGGCCGGTTTGTCGTCGTCTGTGTTTATGGTGGTTTGGGAGGGGGGGGGTGGCGCACAGCACTTGCCCCAACAGTCTGCTAAAGGCTATACGGGGGGTGGGGGGTCTTTGTCTTTGTCTCGTGGCGGTAGGCTCCCCGTGCGCTGGGTCCTCTGGGTTGGAGCGGGACCCCCGGCGCAAGCAGACCCGTCCCACCTTCTCGGGCCAGCAGATCTTCGCGCTCGAGAAAACCTTCGAGCAGACCAAGTACCTGGCCGGGCCCGAGCGAGCGCGGCTCGCCTTCTCCCTGGGCATGAGCGAGAGCCAGGTGAAGGTGAGTCGAGCCCGCACGGGGACAGAGGTGGTCACCGTCGTGTCGGCCTGCCACAGACTGCTGGGGCGAGGGATGACGACCGGCACACGGCACACGCGATATGCACGCACACGCCCAAGGCACAAGAGCAATGGACACACGTTCACACACGCGCACACGCGCCTATACACAAAGATAAAGATTCACCCGCATTGCCAGTAACAGACGAGCACACGAAGCCTTTCGCGACCAATATCATCCAAAATAGACTTTTCTCTCCAACACACCGGTGTGCTGTACTCGTGACGAATCGGCACGTTCTGTTCACGTGACAACCCTTACGAGTTGGCTGTGTCGGGTGGTGGCGGGTTTAACGACACACTTATAATTTACGCGATCTAATCCCCGCAAAAAACTCAATTATGGCTTTAACAAACTTTTGAGGCTAAGTTCTCTTAGCGAGTGACAAGTCCTATGAATGCCGGTACGGCTCACGATGGTGCTGATGCGGCGAAGAAAACCACCGCCCGACCGCCTTTGTCTCCCTAGTGGCGATGTGTACATATCGCAGCAGGTATTTATTTGAGACTGAGTCGATCTAGGGGGAGGCCCAGCGCTGGCTCAGATAATCGCCACTGTTGTCGGCTGTGGTCGTGATTGGGAATCTAACTACCGCGATAATCATTCACGCACGCACACGGGCCCCAGATTTATCGGTGAACCGAGTAATTTGCCTCCTGGGAGTGTGACGCTAAAGCCGATAAAAAGCGGATGAAGCCCACTATCACTCACTGTTGCATTGTGTTTGTTGCATTGTTTGTTGTGTTTGTCGTGTTAAATTGTGTTGTGCAGCATTGTGTTTGGTCTGCTACATTGTGTAATTATATTGTGTTGTGCTGGATTGTGTTATTGTGCTGTCTCAATGTGTGTTCTCTTCCACATTGTGGAATTTGTTGTTGTTTGGGCCTCTGTCAATCCACTACCTGAAGGCCATGTCGAACATGGGGCTTGTTTAACCGTACTTCACCACGCTGGTGGTTTTGCACCCCCGTTACACTGCGATGTTTGGTTTTGTGCGTTTAAGTCGCGATTGAAATCTCCTTTCTCTTCGAACTGCTTTGTGTTTCGTTTGTTAAATATCCCCCCGCGCCGCGCCTCCGATTGGCACGGTTGGCTACGTACGGTGCAAAAGAAGTTCAACATACGTGTACCCAATCATTGACGTGCTGCGTTATCATCTTACAATCAATGACGGCCCTACCCTGCCACCAAACCTCGCCTCTCTTAAGTGAACCTCGGTGGGGTTCCAGGCCCCCTCGGATCCCTCGCCACCGCTTCTCCTCGTCCCTGCCGCCCCACTCGGTCTCCTGGAGGACTCTCCTCTACCCCCTCCTGCTCCTGGGACCCCGCTGACAGGGACACCCCCCCCCCCCACTCCCTGTGTATCCCCCGGCAGGTGTGGTTCCAGAACCGTCGGACCAAGTGGCGCAAGAAGCACGCGGCGGAGCTCGCGAGCGCCAAGCGCCGCCGCGACTCGGAGGCCGAGCGGCTGCAGTCGGGGCCCTCCGCGGAGGGGGCCCAGGAGGAGGCGCCCAGAGACCCCTGCAGTGGCTCTGACAGCGACTGACGACGAGGGGAGATGGAGAGGGGGGGGGGCTCTCGAGGGGGAGGGGTTTGGGGCGGGGGGAGCTTGGAAGAGAGCAGAACAAAGGTCCCGGAACAGGCAAAACGGGACCCTGCTCGAACAATAAAAGGGATTCCTGGAAACAGAACAGAACAAAGAAAAGGGGCCGTGGAACAAACGAAGGGGGCCGTGGAACAATGAGGGTGCTGGAACAGAACAATGACGCGGAGAGGGGACCCTGGGACACAAAAAGGGCACCCTGGAGCAGAACAGGGGTCCTGTGCAGGGACTGCGCGGGGGTTCACGCGCGGGGGTTCACGTGCGGGGGTTCACGCGCGGGGGTCGTACCCCCCCCCCCCCCCCCCCAAGTCATCGCCAGTCCGGGCCCGCGCTGTGGTTCTGCCCCCGTGGTGTTGCCGCCGGGCTGGGCCGCTGTGACTTGTTTTGCTTTGGGTGTTGTTGTTGTTGTTTTATTGTTGATGTGGTTGTTGGTATAAAGTTGCTCTACTTTTGTTATAAATTGCGGTGGCTCCCCTGTGCACTTGGGTCCGCGGGGAGTGACGCGGGGGGTGGGGACGGGGTGACCCCCAAGCCCCCACAGCGTCCAGGACCCCTGAATGGGATCCTGGGCGCTGCCCATGACGTGAGATCAGGGGGGGGGGGTGACAGGTGAGTGGTGGAAGTGGTGGCGAGTGATGTTAATGATGTGAATGGTGATGGTCAGTGACGCTTATAGAGTGGTGGTGGTGATTTGTGTGTGTGCAGTGAGTGCGGTAAAACATGAGCAGTGGGGAGACAAAGACGGACGGGTGAGGTGCTGACCGCATCATCTCCCTCGTGCGTCGTTCCGGCCTTGACAGATGCTCGCTAACAGAACTTGCCCCAGCGGTCTGCGTGGGCGACACGGTGGATCTTTGTCTGTGTGTGTGCGGGCTGAGTGCTGCCTCTGTGTGGTCTCGCGCAAACCCTGGGAATGGAGTACACGGGGGAGGGGCTGGGGGGGGAGGGGCGGGGGTAACCACCGTTGTCTAATTGTCCGCACGTCTCCGTGTCTGTCTCCGTGTCTCTGTACCCCCAATGTCTTCATATCCCTGTCGAACCCTGACCTTAACCCCTAACCTTAACCTTCTAACTCAAACCCAACCCTCACTTCAGTACACACAACCACCACTCCCCCGTATCAGCCTACACAGCGCCAATACGGTACACGAGGGGTTGGCTGGCGAGAACCACGCCCGGCCGCCTTTGTATCCCTCGTGGCAACGTTTACACATCGCACCAGGTACGCATTTGAGTACCTCGGGGAGGCCCAGGATCGGTTCGCCTAAACAATACCGGTGTTGACCGTGAGCGGGAATCGAACTCTGGGGCTGGAAGGGGGGAGTGGGGGGGCTGGAGGGGGGGGGGGCTGGAGGGAGGGAGCCGGAGGGGGGGCTGGAGGGAGGGCGTGTGGGGGGCTGGAGGGGGGGGGCGGGGGTTGGTGGGGGGGCGTGGGGGGGGGGCTGGTGGGGGGGCGTGGGTTGGCTGGTGGGGGGGCGTGGGTTGGCTGGAGGGAGGGCGTGGCGGGGGGGCTGGAGGGGGGGGGCGTGGGTTGGTTGGAGGGGGGTCATCCTTTAACAAATTGACAATAGCCCCGCCCCCTCGTGCCCCCCCCCCCAGGGGTGCGTGACGTCACCAGTCATTCACACTGCTTGGGCGCACACGCACAATCATCGCGATGTGCGCCGCTGTCAATCCACTGCTGGATTGAGGGCCTCGCCACGCCGCGATGGTCGTCGAGGTTATTGGGCCACACTTCACGTCGTCCGTGCCGATTGATATCACTTCGCCACGGACGTGAGCCCGTGGCCGGGAGTCGGACTGAACCCGTCTCAACGCAGTGCGCTAACCACTGCGCCGCCGCTCCCCGCTGTACACAGGCAACCGTTCAATACACGGGCAAACCTACACGTCCCTGCAGGGCTTGTGCCAGGCTAGGTGCACCTCGATGCCACGTGAAAGTGCGGGGAAGGCTTGCTCGCTGCTGGTAGGTTGAGAGACAGACCCAGGTGACGTGGGTTAAACGAATGAGATGCAAACACAGATAGAGACAAACTTGCCTCGTAAAGCTCACGTAGGCTGTTGGGGCAAGTGCCGTTACGGGAATTGTGGGGTTGGGTGACAATCTCCTCGCCCCTCTCTCCACCCTTTCTTCTTTCTCTCCATTATCGTCTCCGCACTCTCACGCCTCCCTCGACCCCCCTCTCCTGTGTGCCCTCAACTCTCCTCTCCACGCTTTGTGTGCCATCTCTCTCCCTCTATTCTCCTCTCTCCAACCCACTCTCCAACTCACTCTCTCCCCCACTCTCTCCCATCTCTCAAAAATCTCTCTCCCATCTCTCTCTCTATTCTCGTCTCCCTCCCTCCCCATCTCTCTCTTTCCCATCTCTCTATTCTCCACTCTCCCCACTCCCCCTCCCCATCTCTCTATTCTCCACTCTCCCCAACCCCCCTCCCCACTCTCTCCCATCTCTCTCTCCCATCTCTCTCTATTCTCCACTCTCCCCACTCCCCCTCCCCATCTCTCTATTCTCCACTCTCCCCAACCCCCCTCCCCACTCTCTCCCATCTCTCTCTATTCTCCACTCTCCCCCTCCCCACTCTCTCCGCTCCGCCACTTGAGCCCGAGAGGAAACGGCCCCGCCCCTTGGGCGCGCACGTGCCACCCGCGACCCCCCACGGGTAGGGTTCGAGTCGGGGGTACGGGTGAGGTTATCGATGGGGTTAGATATATATCGGTAGTGTTGTTATAGATAGGATTAGAGATATCGTTATTGATAAGGGGTAGTGCTATAGATAGGGTTAGATATATAGGTAGTGTTGTGATAGATAGTATTAGAGATGTAGTTATTGATCAGGGGTAGTGCAATAGATAGGGGTAGGGATGGGGTTTGAGATAGGGTTAGGATTAACAGAGGATAAGAGTTATGAATAAAGTTAGAGATAAGAGATAGTGTGAAAGTTAACGATATAGGGGTCGTGTTCGGGTTAGAGACGATTAGAAATGGGCTCAGGGTTAGAGATGGGGTAAGAGATGGTGTCAAGTTCGGTAAGAGTCGGGTTAAGGTTAGAGACAGCAGCGGGATTAAGGCGAGAGGTAGGGGTTGAGTTATAGAACGGATGAGTGGGAGGGTGAGCGGTTCGGTGGGGTTCGGGTAGAGTTCTACACCGGGTTAGATGCACGGTCCAGTCCTCGTTGAGGGACAGCGGTGAGGAGTGGTGATAGCGGTAACGGGTCGGCTTAGGGGTCAGTGACAGGGGTTATAGGCGTGAGAGGTTGTTAGAGATCGTTGGTAGTGATGGTTATTCGTGGTGGTTGTTAGTGATGATTATTCGAGATGATTGTTAGTGATGGTTAGTGATGGTTATTCGAGATGATTGTTAGTGATGGTTGTTAGTGATGGTTGTTGGGGGCGAGCAGTCGGATTGGGGGGTTCGGGCTGTGTCGGGGTTAACTGCCCCCCTTCCTCCGACCCCCTCCTCTCACTTTCCTCTGTGCCCACCCGCCCCCCCCCCCCTCCAGGCTTGGTACAAATTAAAGCGGCACTTTGTTAACGGGGGGCGGGACGCTTCCAGCAGATGCCGCTCGCTGAAAAGAAACTCGCGCACAATTAGCGCAGCAATCGACCCCACGGGACGCCATCCCTGTGCAACACTCGCTCACACTCGCGCACACTCACGCATACTCATGCACGCGCTAAAAAAAAAAACACCCAATGCACGCTCGCTCGCTCGCTCTGAAAACACTCGGAGACAACTCGGGGCCTCTTAAACACTCGCTTAAAACACTCATCCATAGTACAGGATTGTTTTTGGGATAGATCGCGTGTCGGTAAACCCGCCACCACCCGCCACGTTTATATATTTACGCGATCTAACCCAAAAAAACATGTTATGGATTATATTGGTCGCGAAAGCCTCCAACGTGTTGAGATCAAAACACTAAACTTACACTCGTCCGTACTCACGAACTCTCTCACACTCGTGCATTTACACCACCCGTACACTCTCACACTTCACACCGTCACAATCTTAACCGGACAACCAAAACAGAGATCCCCCGCATGGCTGCGGTGCTTGTGGTTATCACCGCGCATCCAGAATTATTTTGGATGCGTTGAACTCCGGGACACACATACACACACCAACACCATGCCCAGCACAACATTCACACAACGTAACCCGGCGAACACGACTCGCCGCACACCCCACGACAGCCAGTACAAAGCCTCGCCACCACCACCACCACCACCACACACATTACCACTATCACCGCCACCGCACACCACAGCCCCCACTAATCGACGCCTCGTGGCTCAACTCGAGGGGCAATAAAACCCTGCACAAAACGCGTGGAGGGTCCATCAGCGGGCACAATGAGAGGCACGTCACGGCCAGGGAGGGGGTGCAGGTTGACCCTGTGAGCCCCGCACGCTCTGGGTGGGCCCCCTCGCCTCTCTCCGCTGCCATTGTCCGCCCGTCACTCTCCCATCACTCTCCGTCACACTCTCGTGGGGGGCCGGGGGGGGGGGTTGGAGAGGCCCGGGCTCCCAGGGGACAAGGGGGTCCCTGAAGGACCCCCTTCACCCCCCCTCCAAGTCCAGACCCGACCCTGCCACCAGCCCCTTTCCCCCCTTTCACGCCGTCGCCATGAATAATGCAGGTCCCCGGGACACAATGCGGCCCGGGGTTCGACACGACCATGAATATGTAATGACCGGCGAGGGGGTGGGGGGGCATTCATCCCAGGAGAGGAGGGGGTGGTGGGGTCGGGGGGAGAACCCCAGAACCCCTAGAAATCTGCGGCAGCGTCTCGCGGCAACTTCCACTTGAGAGCTGGAACAGAGGCGGGCGCAGCCGCGAAATCAAAGTCCTCCTCCACACACCCCATGTGGGACCAACACCGAGGGGCCTGGGTCCGGCACCAATGCTGGCGGCTCTGCCCAGCCGCCAAACTCTCCTCCGACAGTGGAATTCTTCTCGCCCTGCAGCATGTTTACATCTCAAGCTATCGTGGAAACGTACGAGTAGAATGTTGGTTCAGCTATGAAGCTCCGAGTCCTGATACCAACCCCGTTTCACCGGTGCCACCGTTAACTTCAGGTCTAGCTATCGCCGATAAATTCTAATCCTAGTTATATCTTCATCCTAACCCAGAGTCTAACTAACTTTTAACACCGATCCTCAAGCTCACCTTCACTCGAGCCCAATCCTAATTGCGCACACGCCTTCCCTCACACGTGGCCTGCCACGATAACCCCCCCCCCCCACACACATCACCGCCTTCGTTGCTGCGAGCGCATTCGCCACGCGAACTAAACGTGCGGGACTCAAGGGGCTGCGGCGTGGCGCTCCGAGAGGAGGTGTCGCCCCTCCGCCCCCACCCCCTGCTGCCGTGGCCCACGTCTGTTGCGCACGAGACGTGCAATGAAGTCCAACACCCCCCGCCCCGCCAGGTGTGGGCACGGGTGGAGCGGGTCGGGCGAGTCACAGCGGTGCCAACGCCCGGGACCCACTCGGATCGTTGGCAACTCTGGGGGGGGGGGGGGGGTGTAAGCGAGTGGACGCGAGAGGCGGCCAGCAGCCTGTGTGAAGTTTTAATAAAATACACGAAGTGGGGTGCAGCACAACAGGCGGCGACGCGCGGCCACGCGGTCGGCGTCCAGTGAAAGCGGCGGCGGCGGCGCTGGGCCCAGTGTAGTGTCGACTTCACGGAGCGAAACGAGCAAACCACGTCACCATCATCATCATCACATCATCGTCGTCGCACGCGGAGAGAAAAGAGGTGGAGGTTGGGGGGGCGCGGGAGGGGTGGGTGGGGGTGGGCACGCGATATACAAAACCAGCGGCGGGCGAGAACCGCCACGGCCGCCCACACCACCGCGAGCCCCCCCCTCTCCCCACCGCTCTGCCCCCCCCACCACCCCTCCCCCTCCGCCGTGTGGATTCTCTAGAAGGGCGCCGTGTGGATTCTCTAGAAGGGCGCCACGCGGCTAACGACTGCGCGGCAGTGAAGGGGGGCAATCCCCCCCCCCACTCCCCGTCGCGCAGTCGCCGTGCCGCTCCGCAAGTGAACGTCGATGCCATCATAAACATCAAAGGGACGATTTAGGGGAAACTGTCACCGGGAGGAGAAAAAAACAACAATAATTGCCGCATAATATATATTTTATATATATTTGTGTATATATATTTTAAAATCCCCGATTACACCCTCGATCTGTGCGATTGGCGGCGTTACGTGATAAGACGAAGAACCAATTCGTAACGATTCGAGCAGTGCCGAACCGCCCGCGCGAAACGCGGATCTCACAGGACTTCTGAAGGACCCAGCCATGCCGCCACCTGCACCGCGGTGCGGCCCGCCCGCCCTGCCAGGGAGTCGTCTCACGACGGCCACAACCCGAGATTTAATGACCAGAGCTGGAATTTGGGCCAAATTACGCGGAACAAAAAACTTAGAATAAAAGTGTTTTTGGCGTTGTCGTTTATAACGAGGCGAAGACGATCAACTGGCGACGCGGCTGAATCGCGGGCGGAGGCGGCTCAGATTGGACCACAGCGGCGCTCCCAACCTCTGCGTCACTCGGCCGCCTGATTTTCCGTCGTAAATTATCTTTAAAATTTTCTCAAATCTGATCCCCCCATCTCCAACCCTCCCCTCGTCAGTGCCTTCCCGGCTACTCTGACGTGCTGCGTCTCAATAGCGGGGGCCACGTGGAGCGAGTTGGCTGGGAGGCACCGCTGCGCTTAGAGGCCACGGGGCTGCCTCGGCCCTCTTAGAGAATCGTCACAGCCTTGGGGAGGGGGGGGGGGGTCCTGGACCATCCCTGGACCCTTGGGACCCCCACCCGGCAACCGATGTCACGCAGGGGACATAGATTCGGCCATTCCTGATCCGAACGTCATCGGTGACGCTGGAATTTGGGGGGGTGGTGGGGGCGAAGGGAGGTCGGGGCGAATGGGGGCACAAAACACAGCATGCGGCACCACGACTACGGCACAACGAGGTCACGTCACACGAGCTCCACGGCACGAGGGGGGGGACCCAGGAAAACGCGGGGGGGGGGGGGGGGGGGGACCCGGGCGATACAAAGTGACCCGGGGGATCGAAAGGAAGCCACGGGGAGTGTGATGAGAACTTGCGGATGTGAAAGAACCAGGGGTGAAGTTCTACGAGGGAATATCTTGCGGGTCGCGGCGTCACCGCCATCGCCACGGCCCACGGCGAGGGCACGGGAGGTTTGTAGTGCGCCAGGTACAGGGGCGTTCTGGGAGACCTTGGGATGAGATCAAGCCTGAGAAAAGACTCCTGGGTTTTGAGGAGAACCAGGGCATTGAGGGGACCCTGAAGGGACTCCTGGATTAGAGGGTAGTGGGGGATTCAAGGGGGCCCTGGGAATTGAGGAGATCCCTGGGTTATGTAAGTGGGGGTGGGGGGACACCCCCATGGCACCCTGCCCCCTCCCCCCGCGTCCAACCCTGGAGTGAGAGAGGGATGGAGGGAGGGAGGTAGGGAAGGGGCTGGAGGGAGAGGGATAGAGGGAGGGAGGCTGCGGGGCGGGGGGGGGTAGCGGCACGATAGTGTTAACTGCGACACGTGCACACGCGGTGTCTACCTCGCGCATCACACGTCCACGCGCACCGCCTCAACCACCGCGGCGGCGGCGGCGCCACGTGGCTCCCGGCGTCACCGGGGTGGAAGACCCCGGCTCCGGACGAGCTCCGGGAGCTTCCAATCCGTGCCACTGGGGTCATGAGAGCGTGATACATATACCTCTGCACAGGCCAAATACTCACACACTCACACCCTCACTCACAGACCGTATGTACACGAATGCCACTTCTTAGATGCTAGGGTGGGACCACACCATCCCCTAACCCTCACCGCCCCCCCCCACTCGCCAAAGAGCGCGAAGATCGCTCCCTCCCCCCCCCCCCCACTGTTCAACCAAACCTCAAACGAAAAAAAATACACCTGAAAAAAATCAGACGCCCAAATTCATCATCACCATCATCACCACCAGATCCCCCGAAGTCGCGTATGTATAATAATAACGACGGTAATAGTAGTTACATTAGTTTGGCTAACGCAATGGTTACAGGTGGCCACCGAGGCAGCTCTCTTAACGATAAAAAATATAATAACCACGAACCATTAGAACCCAAAGAGAACAACTCTCTCTCTCCTCTCCTGCCGACGACGAAAGTCATTAAAGCTCTCGTGCTCTGCACGGAACATGAATGCTAAAACGTGCGGGACGTCGAACCCGACCGAGTTAAAATATAAAACGTAAACTGTGAGACGTTAAAACGGTAAGAAGTGTGGAGCCTCCCCCCTTCCCCCCCCCGCCCCCCACAACCGTAAAGCCGTGGCGTGGCACGGCCCACGAGGGCCCCCCCCCCCCCATGTGGCTCGCAAACCTCGCCACCGGCATCCCCTGGAGAGGGGAGTGGGGGGTCAGGGGTCAGGGGGTGATCACAGCGGGAGAAGCCTCCACCTGGAGCCTCCATCGCTCTTCAGAGGCCGGCGAGGTGGACGCAGACGGCACTAACCCCGCTCGCCCACTCGCCCCCGCGCTGGTGGGGGGCTATGGCACATTCACAGCGGTGTCACGGGCCAGGGGTGGGGCCCGCAGGGACTGGTGCAGTAGAGGTGAGCGGGGGGCTCTTCGTGAGCAGAGCGCGGTGGCGCGGGCAAGTGGGGGGGGTGAGTGGGGGGGGGGTGAGTGGGGGGGGGTGAGTGGGAGTGGGTGAGTGGGGGGGGGGTGAGTGGGAGGGGGTGAGTGGGGGGGTGAGTGGGAGGGGGTGAGTGGGGGGGGGGTGAGTGGGGGGGGGGGGTGAGTGGAGGGGGGTGAGTGGGAGGGGGTGAGTGGGAGGGGGTGAGTGGGGGGGGGTGAGTGGGGGGGGGGGTGGCTTTGGTGACCACCACTCGGGGCCAAGCGAACCGCTCACAGAGGTGAGTGAGCGAGTTGGCGAGTGGAGCGCTAAGAGTGAGCGAGCGGTGGAGGGGAAGGACGGGGGGGACGGGGGGGGAGAATGGTGTGGAGGAGCTGGGTATTGCTCCACTCGGGGGGGGGGGGAAGTGAGGGAGGGGGGCGTTGACGGTAGGGGGGAGGGTGCGCTCTGGTGGAGCCCCCCGGAGCCCGTTCACACGGCCGTCTCGCGCAGGAACCGCCCCCCATTCTGCCGATGGCTCTTCTTGTCTGGCGGAGGTCAGACGTTCACGTGCGGACACGGGGCGGGCGATCAGTACGCTGCCTTTGGAAGGGTCAGTGCTGGAGTGCTAGGCAATCCCAAATTCAGAGTACAGCAAAGTCGCAAGGTCAGAGGGCAGCACGGGTCAAGGACAAAGGGCAGCACAGGTCAAGAACAGAGGGCAGCACGGGTCAAGGACAGCAGGGACAAAGAACAAAGGGCAGCCCGGGTCAAGGGCAGCAGGACACAAGGACAGAGGGCAGCACGGGTCAAGGACAAAGAGCAGCAGGGACCAGGGTTGACACTGGCGGGATTCACACCGGGGGTGCCGCCTTCCCGGCCTGGTTTCCTCTCGGCATTGGGGATGATTACGGAGTTGCAATCGGAGCCGGCGGTTCACAATTAAATAGTTTTTGGCGCGGCCGCTACGATTAAAATCATCACCAGCACCGGGGGAAACCACGCCGTCGGGTAACGAAGCAACTACAACAACAACACCGTGCACCACCACAACAACACCGTGCACCACCACAACGTGCACTATCAAAGAGTCCAGAGTAAAACCGAAATATTGTACGGTTATATATATACTGCACATACACACGTACTACATAGGCTGGAGCGTGTACACAATTGTACAGCCTCTTTGTCAATCCACTGCTGGATGAGCGGCTTCCCCGTTGCCGTGTCGCCGGTCGGGAGGGTGTGTTTGGCCATACGACCTCGGGTCCCCGGAGTTTGGAACACAGTGCGCTAACTAATTGTGCCACAGCTCCGCACAAATATACAGTGCACTCACTGTATACACAGTACACTCACTGTATATCGAGGGCTCAATTGTTCATCTGGATGACGAACTACCACAAACGGTTAAATTGCAGCCTGTGCAATATATGTAGAGTATGTGCAGTAATGTGTGCAGTGTGTGTTTTATTCAAGCATCACATATATATACATGTCAGTGTATGCAAGGCGTGTGTGGGTGTTATACATACAAAGACAAAGATGCCCCGTGTAGCCTTTAACAGACTGTTGGGGAAAGTGGTATTAGCGAACACATATGAAGGCCGGCACGGCACACGAGGGTGTGGATTGCCAGCACCACTACCGCCCAGTGGTGATGTTTACACACACCACACTAGGTACTAATTTCAGGCCGAGTCTAACTTGGGCAGGCACAGGACCGGTTCAGATATTCCGTCACCGACTGTTGTGAGATGCGAGTGGGAATCGAATTTTGGTCTTCGAGTTCATAGAGCAATGCGCTAATGATTTCACCACATACAACTCTTTGTCTTTGTTATATACACACACACACGGATACCATATACATCAAGCGTGACGTCAACAGGACACAGAGACACTCCTGGGAACCCTCAAAGGAACGGAACTGGGGGAAAACCCGGACTGCCCCGTGCTCTCCGTCAGAATCTGCATCTGGGGGCAGCTGGTTGCGAGACACTGCTCACCAAACCTTGTGAACTCTGACGGAGCCCATCAGCGAATTCGTCTATCCACCGAGTTAATTAGTTTAGCGTTACTGTCACGTCAGCCGACATTATTCATCCCTTTGACAAACGGCTCGAAGCAATTAAAGCAAGGCTCTTGTTCCGCGACTAAATCATCTTGAACGCGCCCGATCAACGTAATATATCACTAGGAAGCTAAGCAGGAGGTGAGCCTGGCCGGTACTCGAATCGGGGACCTATAGGGCAGGCGCTGTAGGGCGCGGAGAGGGCTGACAACGCTCAGTGTCTCTCTGCTTCGTGCAAGGGGGGGGGGGGGGGGGGGAGCAAAGGGGCTCTTTTGAAAGAGTCTTGAGTTGAGACTCAACGAGGCTTTGCAGATGAAGCAGAGACATGTTCCACAGAGCCAATGGGCAAGGGGAGACCGAGTCTTGACCCACTGACCCAGAAAAGCTCAACTCGGCACACGGCCACGCTGGCGGCTGACGTCGCTAGAGGCAGCGTGAGGGGCCAGGAGTGTCTCATACTGTGCGTGTGCATGCGTGAGCGCGTGCGTGTGCGCGTGCGTGTGTGCGTGCGTGAGCGCGAGTGTATAAAACAATGCAAGCGAGAATTGTGTGAGGAGTGATTGAATTAAAAGGAAAAAACGATGCATTACCACGAGCAAGGCACACGGGTCACTGCACAGCACAACACTGGGGATCGGCAGCGCTGCGTTTACCTGCTCCCACCACCAGCCTGAAGCACAGGAACACCGGCTGGGGATGCACACACACACACGGGCACATGTGCACACATCCAGATTCACACACACACAAATTCGTGCATGCACACGCAGAAATAAGCACACACGTGCACACAAACACATACACACACGCGCAGACGCATCCACACACAAATGCGCACACACACAGACACACACGCGCTGTTAAACCACGTGTGTGCGTGTGTGTGCGTGCGTGCGGGTGTGAGCGTGTGTGCGTGCCAGTGCTCCGCCGCGCCGTGTGCCGTACACGAGCGAGCTACCTTGTGGTCGCCCATGCACACATTGGCGCCGATGTTGTTGTAGACGGGGACCGCGTCCTCCCCCTCTCCCTGAACACGCGCACACACACGCACACGCACGCACACACGCGCGCACACACACACACGCGCGTGCACACACACACACACGCGTACGCACACGCACGACAAGAGTCGCCCGGCCGTTAGAACCGGCGCCACCAGTGGACGAACCGCCGGAGATAGAAACCGAATGTCAACGTCGTCCGTAGACTCCGAGTAAATCGTCGCCCTGGAGAGTCAAACAAGCGTGGGCGACCTCTCGTGCCGCTTCACGCAGCGTCAAAAGAATAACGCAGACACGGTTTTGATTGCCCACCCGTGTGTGTACAGGCGTATGTGTGCGTCAGTGCGTGCGTGTGCATGGACCCATAATGCCATATATATTAAGACTACATAGGGGATCTTTCTCTTTGTGTGAGCATGCTTGTATGTGCGGTGCGTATCTGTGCATGTGTGTAGACGTGCGAGTGCATGTGTGCGTGTTTGTGATGGACACGGGGGATCCTTGTATTTGTAATGTACATGCATGTGCGTGTATGCGCGCGCGCCTTTTTTGTGAGCGTGCGTGTATTTGTGGTGCGATTCTTTCTGTGAGCGCACGCGCGTGCGCTCACAGCACTTGCCCCAACAGTCTGTGACGGCTACACGGGGGATCTTTGTGTTTGTTTTGTGCGAGCATGTGTGAGCGTGTCACCTTGTGGAAGAGCTCGCGTGCCGAGTGGGACATGAGCACGCGGTCGCACCAGGCCGGGCAGCGCGTGTTCATGTAGCTCCTGCCCTGGCTGCTGTCCTCGCTGTACGGGTAGCTGCGCACACCGAGTCACAGAGCCCACGCGTAGCCCACATTGAGCGTCGTCGGTACCCCATGTATTCGCACCGCACCGCGTACTCGGTTATGGTCGAGTCGACCGAGGAGAGGCCCAGGACCGGGCCGTGGGCGGGAATAGAACGCGGCTCACCGCGTTCGGAGCGCAGCGCGCATACCGCTGCGCCGCCGCGCTCCACTCGCACACAAACTGGCACATAATAGAAAACGCACAAATGCACGGACACACACCCACACGCAGAAACACACAAACACATATAGACACCCACACACACCCACACACACAGGAACGCGCAGACGCGTACACGCACACACCCTCCCAATCACGCAGACGCGGGGAGCGATCGCTGGGGTCAGCCAGTGGAATGCATCACGCTGATTGTTCACCGCGGCCAGGGGCAGGCAGCGCTGACCGTCACGCCGTCCCCCTCCCTGACCCCACGCGAGCGCATCAATTAACAACGGCCACACCTGCGGTGGCTGCGTGACTCAGAGGGCAGGGGCGCAGAGCCGGCAACCCCTGAGATGCTGGGTTCGAATCCCGGTTTCAGCAACTGGCCGCCGATTAAACCGGGTCCCTCAAGTATAGAGAGTCGATGGTCTTAGCTCGTAGACACTCGTAGAGTCACTTAGAGACCCACGAACTCACACAGAGAGACCCATCAACTCTCATAGACTGAGTTGTTATTAAACCCACTTCTCGGGTGTAACTGAGCCGATGGTCAACAATTTGACCGTGCAAAAATAAACACCATCACGTTCAATATGGTTCTTCTGCGAATATTTCTTTGCCCGTAATTTCTTTGCTTGCAGCGGGGCCCGCACACCACGCTCCAGAAGCGAGCGGCACCACTGTGGAGGCCGCGGGGTCATCCATGCCGCAGGCCTCCGTCTCACCTGGGAGGAAAGCCGATGTCCTGCTCCCAGAGACGGTCCTTGAAGGCCAAGAACTCCCGGTCAAATCTGTGCAGCTGCGAATGTCAAATGAAGAGGTGTGGAGTGTGGGGTGAGGGGTGAGGGACGGGGGGCGCCAAGGCGGGAGAGGAGGCACAGAGCAGTCGACGTTTAAACTCGGGTCCTGTGTTGTGCACGGGAAACTACAGATCCTGGCAGGAGCGCAGGCAGGAGCTAGGCCTGGTGACAGTGGGATAGATACACTGTCTGCAGTTTAACACGTAGGCTTTCGCAACCAATATCATCAATAATATGAATCTGGCTGTCCGCCTGATGATGCTAGTTGTAATTACTGGCGTAGCGTCGTACTCAGATTGTAAATGTTATGGATTTGCTCTTCAACACAACCGGTGTGCTGTACTAATGACGAATTGGCACGTTCTGTTAACATGACAAACCTTACTAATTGGCTGTGTCGAGTGGTGGTGGGTTTAACGACGCATTTATATTTACGAGATCTAACCCAAATCACCTATATTACTGTGTCTGCAGCCTGTAGGATAGACACTGGCTGCAACCTGTTTGGGGATTATTTCACCTCTTAATCTTGTTCACCCAAGCAAGCCTCAATGAATTCCAAGACGATTTTTCAAGAGGGTCCTGCCAATCGTTTTGCAGTCGGAGGAAACAACCGCTACGTGTATCCCAAAACAAGGAATCTGCAAGTAAAGTTTTAAAATCGGGCACTGAGTCTACGCAAACAAGTTCCATGGGCAGGAGTGGCGGGGGGAGGGGGGAGGGGCACGCACATCACTGCCGTTGTCCTCGCGGAATATGCCCTGGTGAATGTACTCAAAGAGCTTCTTCTCCATGCGCAGCACCACCTACACCACACACACACATACACACAGAGATCCCCCACTTTAATATACTGTTGGGGCAAGTGTGGTTAGCGAGTAGCACCTATGAAGGCCGACACAGCACACGAGGGGGGGTAGTGGTCATCATCACGCCCGGCTACCTTTGTTTCCCAATGCTGATGCTTCCACACAACAGCAGGTACTCATTTAAGGCTGACTAGACCTAGGGGAGGTCCAGGACCAGTTCAATATTTGCCACTTTTATTGGTCGTGAGCGGGAATCGAACCTGGAACTCCGGGTTCCTTGTGCAGTGTGCTAACCATGACGTCACTGTTCCCCCACAACACAAATACACAGCACATGTATGTGCGGTGAAGCTGGGCATAACTACGAGAGACACACGGACTACGGGAGACACACACGGACTACGGGAGACACACGGACTACAGGAGACGCACACGGACTACGGGAGACGCACACGGACTACGGGAGACGCACACGGACTACGGGAGACGCACACGGACTACGGGAGACGCACACGGACTACGGGAGATGCACACGGGCTGTTATAGGACACAGGCCGGGGAACCAGTGTGTGTGCGGCTTTCCTTACTGAGTGCTGGAATGGACCTTTGGTGGGCAGCCACACACACCTTGCACTACAATTAGAAACACAGCGTTGTTACCAGGTTAAACGATTTACCTCTCTAGTACCCAATTAGTGCAGCTAAGATGCTAGCAGCGTTGGATAAATATCGTTTGCGGGCTGTTTCGAAGTGGCAGCCCTGACTGACGTGGCTGCGGGCCGTCGTGTGACATGAAATCAGGGGCCGTATCCCGGCCGTGGGCCGTAGGCTGTCCACCCATGTCATGTGGGGGATATTTGTCCTTTGTGCGGGTGAATGTGCGTGTGTGCGCGTCTCTCCGACTGTATCTGTGGGATGGTGGCACGGTGGTTAGCGCACTGCGCTATGAACCCGACGACCTAAGTTCGAATTGCCACTAATGCCCAGTTTAGACTCTGTCTTAAATCAGTAGCTGGTGCGAAGTCTAAATATCGCCAATAGGCGTGTTGCTAGCCACCCATCCCCTCGTGTGTCTGTACGGGGATCTCTGTGTTTGTTGTGTGCGTGTGCGTGTGTGTAATCCCATGCGTCTGGGTGTCGCCGCTACTGCGGCGCCACGCACCTTGCGGTCGTTGTTGGACTCGGTGTAGACGACGCGATCCACCTCGTCCGTGTTCGGCGTCTTCACCGTCTCCAGTGTCGCCTCTCCACACAGCGACTGGGTACGGCACACACACGCATGCAAGATTAAAAGTGTACACACACACCCAGGGTTCATGTTACACACACACTAACCATGTGTACGCACACACACAGGGTTAATGTACACACAATAACGGCGCCATTCACCACTCAGTGGCGGTGACATCACCACAGCACTTGTATGTATGTCGAACTTCCTTTGCACTGTGCGTAGCTAACTGTGCTATCTAGCCTGGCACAAGCCAGTGTACCGAGCCTGGCTTGTGGAAGGCTCTCGCTGCTGGTAGGAAGTCACGGGGCAGACCCGAGTTGTATGGGTTGACTGATTGTGGCAGGCTAGGTGCATACTGAGGCCGTCATGTGAAGTGTAGAATGCTCACAGCTGGCAGGTCACGGGAGAGACCCAGGTGGTATCGACTAGTTGACCAAGACGACTGGCAAACGGTGCTCCTCACTGCGCCAACTGCTACCGGAATATTCACACACCGACTCGGCCCTTTAGTCAATCCACTGGTGGGCGAGGGCCTTTCCCAAAGGTGTGCAGGTTACGGGGGCCATTTGACCATACTTCACCATGCTTGTCAGTATGTGGATTGGTTAAGGCGGGGGGGGGGGGGGGGGCAGTAAATGCCGGCGCATAGTAAAGCGCAAAGAATTGATTTTGCCGCACTGCCCGCTGGTGACAATGTAGGGGGGGGGCAACTTTACTACTTTCCGCAATAGCCCCCCCCCCCCCCTACTGGGAGTAGCGTGACCGTAGGAGGCTGGTGGCCGATGGCAGGGGTCTCGCGGACAGCAGGGGTAGGTGGGCCAGTGTGGGGGCACTCCAGTGGAAGTGAAAAAGTGAAAGGAGGAAGCCACTTAGTGGGGAGTCCGCGATGAGAGGGTGGACAATACAAACAGCCCCGCACACACGCACGCATGCACACACGCACGCACGCATGCACACACGCACACACGCGCGCGCACTCGCCCACTCCCAGGCCCTGAATGGTAATCGCTCTGCAATTGAAACTAAATGCGCGAGGGGCCCATGAATCGCTAAGTTGGCCGTCTCTCGCCAGTGTTCGGCCGAACCGACCCCGTGAAATCAAACCTGACCCCCGACCCCCGTACACAAACATCTGTAGTCTGACAAACCGCCACGTACGGCGCGACAAAGCCTCCGCTCGGGCGGCCCCGGCACCACAATGGGGCCGCACAAGGCCCATAAAGGGCCCCTGTAGAGCGGCACAAAGGGTTCCCCCCGCGTGCGTTTCACATGCGGAGAGGGCGGCACAAAAGGGGGGCGGCGGCCAGGCAGGCCTCCAGCAGATGGCTGCGGCGCGCCGACAAAGGCGTCTCCGTTCTGCCTGGTTAAACCCCAACGCCCGCGAAAGCTGTTTAACAGATTACGGATGCCGCCCGCCACCCAACAGTCCCTCTCAGCTGTCACTGTTTCTGTTTGGGCGACAAAACGGCAGTGCCCCTCCCACCCCCCCCCCCCCCCCTTCAATCAACCCTCACCACCCCCCCCCCCCCCCCAAAGCTCGCACAGCCGGAGCAGATCAAGTTATAATGAGGGGCCCTCCTTCCCCGCTCCCTTGTTATTTACATTTTACAAAAGCATTCTCCTACTGCAGAAAAGAGGGGGTGCGCCCCCCCCAGCCCCAACCCCCGTTTGACGGAACGGACGTGGAAATCTGCGGAGGTTTTGCGGACGCCCTGGACCAGAGAGAGAGGAAGCAGCCTCAAACGCCGATGTCAGAGTTGGGGATTAATTGCTGAATAGCCCGATGGACGGCACAGAGCGAGCAGGAAGAGTGAGCAGGTTGGCAAATCGGAAAGGTTGCGAGTTCAAATCCTGGCTGGGGGTTGACTCGTCCACCCATCATCATCCCTCCCTCCGGGGTCAGTAAAACAGAGTACCACTTGGTGGGGAAGTCAACAGCGACGGTCCTAGGGATAGACTCGCCCCCGCCATATGAATGTGGAATTTCCAGCACTGGCTCCGCAGGGCTGTAAACAGGAGATGAGCACCGTCTCGATGCTCATTTGAGCCGGAAAACCGCTCTCACTTTGACCTGAGAGCCAGATACACTAAACATACAGCCATACATCGAGCCAGATCATTGTTTTCATTGTGCTTGTTTACCCAGGAAAGCCTCACAGAGTCTTGGGACTCTTTATTTAATAGGATCCTGCCTACAGGGTACTAGAGAGAGCGTTGCTCTGTGTGATCCCAATTGAGTAAATTGCTCTGTAATTGTTTTACTTCTGGCACGAAACTGGAGAAAAGCTATGGGGGGTAAATGTACAAACTCCACGCAGAAAGGTGCCCAAGTCGGGAATCGAACCCGGGCGCTTCTTTGCTGCGAGGCCCAAGCGTTACCACCACACCGCTCGAGACGCAGCACCCTACAGCCAGGCCGGCAGGCAGCGGCAAGGCCGGGTCGGGCCAAGCGGACGCCCCCCCCCCTCACGCGACCCCCACCCCCAGCTGCACCCCCAAGCTCTCGCGACTCAGCAGCAGCCGCCGGTGCACGCCCCACGAAGTGCTCCCGGGTTGGACGGGGGGTATGTGTCTGTGTATGTGTCTGCCTTTGCATGTGTGTCTGTGTGTGTGTTTGGGATAGTAGGGGGCACAGATGGTGCATCAGGCCAGTCATCTCAGTCCGTCAACCCATGGCACTTGGGTCTGTCCCGTGACCTCCCGTCAGTGGGTGTTCGACACTTCACGTGGCTTTAAAGTGCGTATAGCATGGCGCAAGTTCTGTGGTGACATCACCGCAACTTAATGGCAAATGGCGGTTGTTGTTGTTGTGTTTGGGATGCGGTAGTATAGTGGTTAGCGCACGACGCTACGAGCCCGGCACCTGAGTTCGACTCCTGCTCGCGGCCACCAACACCAGCGAGGAATATCTGAACATGCCCTGGGGCCTCCCCTAGGTCGACTCGGCTTCAAATGAGTACCTGGTGCAGTGTGATGTGTAAAACATCGCCACCAGGGACACAACGGCGGCCGGGCGTGGTGCTGGCCAACCGCCCCCTCGTGTGCCGTGTCCGTCAGCGTAGGTGCTCGCTAACAACACTTGCCCCAACGGTCTTTTAAGGCTACACGGGGGCTCTTCGTCATTGTGTTCCACGTCTGTGTGCTCTCACCTCCACCACCTGCCTGGCGTCGAGCCGGAAGTTGAAGTCTCCGAAAATAAAGAACGGCACGGTCTGGTATCGCCGGTCAGAGATCCTGCACCACCAGGAACACGACAAACACAACAACAACAACACGTTACACGATGTAAACTTGCAGTACACGAGCCAATAGCAGAGAAACAATCATGTAGAACTTAACAGTACTCAACATTATACAGAATAAAACAACCTGTGACACAAACCAATATTACACACTAGACATAGTACACATCATGACATGAGAAAGCATTAAACAGTGCAACACAAAGCGCTGCACATACAAAGTACTCATGATACAACACATCGCACCACATAATATTACACGTTACACAACACACGGGTGCGTGGAGGGGAGTAGGGTGAGATGAGAGAGGAGCGGCAGGAGACAGCGGGCCCACCTGTCGAGCACGTGCGAGAGCGCGCGCTGCCGGTTGCTCGAGTACACCGAGGGGCTCTCCTCCCATGCTGTGATGTTGGAGGCGTCGTGGAACAGGTGGATGTTGATCAGGTCAAAGACGCTGCGCACAAGGGCGGGCACGAGCACAGAAGGGTAGCCCTGGGGTCAGAATACGACCGCAGTTCATTTCACCCACCACCCCTCCATCCCCCTGCTCCCTGGCCAGTTTGGGTTGTTTGGTGACAGCTGCAACAATGTCGACCAGTGAGCCTCTTCGTCCTCTTCCTTGACACAGACCAATGACAATTTGAACGAGGTTGCACGAAACCCTGGGCATCACCAACATACATTGTGTCGGTGACGCCACTGCCGCTGCTGTGTTGGCAGTGGTGAACAGACACAAATCATTACCAAAATAACTCTACACATTCGTCTGACAAGGAAAAGGCTGCGCACGGTGCAGGGAGGCTGGGTGCAGTGCAGGGAGGCTGGGTGCGGTGCAGGGAGGCTGGGTGCAGTGCAGGGAGGCTGGGTGGGGTGCAGGGAGGCTGGGCGTGGTGTAGGGAGGCTGGGTGGGGTGCAGGGTGGCTGGGTGCGGTGCAGGGAGGCTGGGTGCAGTGCAGGGAGGCTGGGTGGGGTGCAGGGAGGCTGGGCGGGGTGCAGGGTGGCTGGGTGCAGTGCAGGGAGGCTGGGCGGGGTGCAGGGAGGCTGGGTGCAGTGCAGGGAGGCTGGGCGGGGTGCAGGGAGGCTGGGTGAGGTGCAGGGAGGCTGGGCGCGGTGCAGGGAGGCTGGGTGAGGTGCAGGGAGGCTGGGCGCGGTGCAGGGAGGCTGGGCGGGGTGCAGGGAGGCTGGGTGAGGTGCAGGGAGGCTGGGCGCGGTGCGAGAGCGAGCGGCTTACCTGTCACTAATGCTCCACCTCGTCCTGATGTAGCCCTTCCGCGACCACTTGCACTGCGGGGGTGGGGATAGCGATATGGGCGGCAGGCATCAGCGATGACTCTCACTCACGGTCGTGCACAGCGACGCGGAACACACGAGGGGGTGGGTGGCCAGCATGCCCGTTCTACGCCACAGGTGCGCCTCTGGTTCCGGGCCCGGTGGAGTTGGGCCCCGTCGTGGGCTCCACGGATGGAGACGCGTGCCCTCCGGTCCCGTGGTGGCGGTGGCGGAGATTTAACTCTTACACAACCGGAGTAAAGAAAGCCCAACACACACACACGCACGCACATGCAAGCGCCGCGCATTGCACGCAGCGTGCTAGCCAGGAACCGTGCTCACCTCCGGGAAGAACTCCTGGGGGAACTTCTCCTTCTCCAGCATGGTGGTGCTGTCCAGCGTGTCCGAGTAGATCTCCTTGCCCGTCACCTTCTTGAACTTGCGAGCTGCACGCACGCAGAACCAGCGTCACGCGGTGGACACGCGGTCCCCGCCACCAATCCCCCCCCCCGCCCCAACCTGCCTTCTCATGCCGCCTCCCTCCTCGCCTTCACTCACGGCGGCCGCAGCAACAGCGATGAATATAATAATAATAATAATAATGAATGAAACAGACGGTACAGTAGAATGATGGATTTTGCTAAGTCTCATGACTCTGGGCCCTCCATTGAGTGGTGAGTGATTTGTGTTCGAGCAGTGTGTGGCGCGTGAGTGGTGAGTACACTTGTGTGTGAAGAGCGGTGTGTGGTGTGTGAGTGGTGAGTGACTTGTGTGCCAGCAGTGTGTGGTGCGTGAGTGGTGAGTGACTTGTGTGTGAAGAGCGGTGTGTGGTGCGTGAGTGGTGAGTGACTTGTGTGTGAAGAGCGGAGTGTGGTGTGTGTGTGGTGTAAGAATGGCGTGAGCATGGTGTGTGTGGTGTGTCAATGTTGTGAGTGGTGTGTTAGTTGTGCGAGTGGTGTGTTAGTGGGGTGATTGACGTGTGTGGTGCGGTCGTGGTGTGTGTTGTGTGAATGGTGTGTGAGTGGTGTGTTAGTAGAGTGGTGTGCGTGAGTGGTGTGTAAGTGTTGTGAGTGGTGTGTGTGGTGTTAGTGTTGAGTGGTGTGTGAGTGGTGTGTTAGTAGAGTGGCGTGTGTGGTGTGTAAGTGTTTTGAGTGGTGTGTGTGGTGTTAGTGTTGAGTGGTGTGTGAGTGGTGTGTTAGTAGAGTGGCGTATGTGGTGTGTAAGTGTTTTGAGTGGTGTGTGTGGTGTTAGTGTTGAGTGGTGTGTGAGTGGTGTGTTAGTAGAGTGGCGTGTGTGGTGTGCGTGTGTAAGTGTTTTGAGTGGTGTGTCAGCCGCGTCTCACCTTTGAAGTCAAACTGGTAAGTGTTCCTAAGGGACTCGTGAAGGAAGTAGAGGTTTCCTAGAGCCTGCAGTGACAGATTACATAGACCACAACCACACATTACACATTTGCAATCTACCACTACAGTTACCATACTTAAATCACGTAGTTTAACACGTAGGATTTCGTGACCAATATTATTCATAATGAAGGTTTTTGGGTTAGATCGTGTAAGTATAAATGTGTCGTAACCCTCCACCACCCGACACAGACAATTAGTAAGGGATTTGTCACGTAAACAAAACGTCAATTAGTTACTACTTCAGCCCACCGGTGTGTTGGAGAGTAAATCCACAACATTTACAATTTCATTAAATCACGTACCATACACAGCCCACTTGCCATACACACACAACACGTATCAAATACATACACACACCCCACGCATCACACACAGTCCACCTACCACACTCACTGGCACGTGGGGTGGCAAGACAGCGAGCAGGGCAGAGAGGCAGACAGGCGAGTAGGCACGCGGGTGTGGGCGTGAGAGAGTGCAGGAGAGGTGTGCAGGTGAGCGGGGGTGCAGGTTCACACAGCGTGCAGGTCTGAACCTGGCCGTTTGGGCGAGTGGATGTGCTGTGCGGGTGAAACGGGTGTGGGTGCGAAACAGTGCACAGGTGAGCGGGTGAGCGGGCCGGCGGAGGTGCGGGCAGGTGAGCGACTTTTCACGGCGTCCCCATCGCCGATCACTCTCCAGGCCGCGATCCCCGCCGCTCCCTCGCCACGTAAATCTGGGCTAATGCCGGCTCGGTGAGCGTGCGTCCACCGTCCAATGGGCTTTAATTACCGCGTAACTACACTTAGCGCGTGATTAATAACCCGCGTATCGCACTGCATAAATCCACACTAAATAACGGCGGCGCCCGTCAGCTCCTCGGGGCCTAATTACGCGCTGCAGGAGCAGGGACGGGGTGGCGTCAGCGCGGCGGCGCGTCCGAGCGGGTGTGCACGCGCGTGTCCCCGCCGCAGGTGTCCCGTGCGCCCCGTGTGGAAGCCGACGCCGGTGCCACGGCGCCGGGCGCGGCTCCGCAGGGACTGCGCTTGGCTTGGGATCGTCCCCCCCCCCTTCTCCTCTGTGGGCTCGCTTGATCTGTGAAACCGATGAGGCCTCACTCCTCCACAGATGTACCCCCCCAATTCCCCCCCCACCCCTGCCCCAAGGCCACAATAACCGTGGTTGCCCCCCTGCCCCCTGCCCCCGCGACTCCCCTCCCCCCACTCGGCAGAAGCCCACGACCTCAGGGCGTTGCTCAACACCACCACCCACTTTGCAGCATGAGACAAACTCAAAGGGTGACAACAGGCCCTAAGGCTGGGATTGAGGGACTATGCCTGGACATGGCCCGCGACTTTGTTTTATGCGGCCGACGGCCACATGAGGCCCACCACTTCTACTAAAAGGCCTGCAAACGATATTCATCCGTCACTGCGAGGATCTTAGCCGCACTAATCGCGCACTCGAGAGGGCCTGATTTTGACAAAGCAAACGACGCTTTGTTTAGAATTTTTGCACTGCGCCGGGTCACTGCTGTCACTGCAAGGGTGTGCGTGGTCGTGCGGAGTTGCCCGCCAAAGGTCGTCACATTCAGGGCTCAGTCACAAACGGGTTCCTCATCCGTCCTAAGTTGTGTCGGGGGATGCAACGGAACAGAATGTTATGGAATCAACGTTACCACCTCATCGTGACCTCTAACCCCGGGTGGAACAACACAGCACACCGAGGCTACAGCCATCGCGGCCTCGAGCTGTCAATCAACCGCACACTCGTGCTGGGTGTGTGTCACTACCAAAGTCTGTGGCCGCTGCAGGGCGCGTGTCGCCGCTGCAGGGCGCGTGTGGCCGCTGCAGGGCGCGTGTCGCCGCTGCAGGGCGCGTGTGGCCGCTGCAGGGCGCGTGTCGCCGCTGCAGGGCGCGTGTGGCCGCTGCAGGGCGCGTGTCGCCGCTGCAGGGCGCGTGTGGCCGCTGCAGGGCGCGTGTCGCCGCTGCAGGGCGCGTGTCGCCGCTGCAGGGCGCGTGTCGCCGCTGCAGGGCGCGTGTGGCCGCTGCAGGGCGCGTGTCGCCGCTGCAGGGCGCGTGTGGCCGCTGCAGGGCGCGTGTCGCCGCTGCAGGGCGCGTGTGGCCGCTGCAGGGCGCGTGTCGCCGCTGCAGGGCGCGTGTCGCCACTGCAGGGCGCGTGTGGCCGCTGCAGGGCGCGTGTGGCCGCTGCAGGGCGCGTGTCGCCACTGCAGGGCGCGTGTCGCCGCTGCAGGGCGCGTGTGGCCGCTCTCTGGGGGACGTGGGCGCGGAGCTAAGTGGGTGGCTCCGCGTGGCACGCCGCGGCGTGCCGGTGAGCAGGTGCGGAACGCGCGTGCAGCGCAGATGAGGGGTGGGAGGGGGAGGAGATGGGGAGGAGAGAGGGAGGGAGAGGAGGGCCCTGCCATCAGATTGGATTCCCTCTCTCTAGAGAAATACTTGGAAAATTGAAAACGGCCGGGCATCGCGGGACGGGCATTACACGCGTGGCTTCCTCCGCACGCCCCTCGCTCACAGCTCCAGCGTCCCTCATGCTCTCTCTATCCCCACGTCCCTCCCTCTCCCTCCCGTGGCACCCATCACCATGAACAATTAATATCACGGCGGCGGCGGCAGCAGTAGCAGCATCATCAGTAGCAGCACCAGCACAGAAGTAGCAGTAGCCACGGGCCCCCCGGGGTTTTACGACGCGTGCCGCAAGCCGGGCTTGGCCGCGGCGTGAGCAGCAGGTGTCAGGTCTCTTGCTACAGCGCCAGGCGACCCTAGCCCCCCTCGTGTCCTGATAGGTGCACCCCCCACGCGTGTTTAGCGACGCTGCAGCTCCCATTCACACGGCCGCCCCCTCGTCCCCCCAGCCGCCCCAGGTAACAGACCTACGCAGGTGCGGTGGGATGTCCTGCGCGAGGACAGAGTTCTGTGTTACGGTGAGCGTGGAATCAGGTTGTGACTATATCCGGTGAGCGTACCTCTTGGTACGAGTGTAATAACCGATTTTTAACCGTCCAAGTCAACGCATTGATGCGTGGCGCACCGCGAGCGACTGCCGTCCTCTCCCGTATGCGCTGGACCCGCGACGCGCAACACGGTGACATCACCGGGGTGCTATGGCAGCAAGCTTGACCGTCATGTTATAAAAAAAAGTTTTAATTTCCTCTTCCGTAAACGAAGATTCACACTGGCGGGGGCGGGAGAGCCCCACGGACACACAACCCCTAGGTGGGTAGCCATAAGAGAAGAGCTGTTTAGTGTGTTCGAGGTTAGAACCTTTCTTCGACCCGGTGTGAACAGGCAAGAAACGAAGCTGACATGACGATTGCGACTCAGGACACAGGCCTGCTAGGGGCACGGGCGCATTGGGAAAATTTGATGAACAGAGAATTTTTAAAGGATATAAAAAAAATACATGCAGTGGACTTTCACTTGGGTGCAGTGTGTCAATAGACAAGAAGCTGCGAATCATAGAGAAATAATTTGTCCACCTTTCTTGATAAGGGAGAAATGGTCATAAAATACCAGAACGGAAACTTGACCCCACGCGACGAGATGAGAGACACCCGCGGAGCGACGGTCAATCCGCGCGTAATCGCCCCCCTCGCGAGCGCGACCGTCCCGCGCGTTTCATTTCTCTCACCCCCCCTCACTCGCCCCCCTCGCCCTCCCTCCCTCTCGCCCGCCCGCCCCCCTCCACCCTCGCCATCCACCGTGGGTGCGCGCTACGCGTTCCCCCCACCGCCTTCATTACACGCAAAGCCGCGACGCGGATCAATGCTCCGCTGTGTTTTGGCACAAATTAGCGCCCGGTTAGTTTACATGCCAGTGGCAGGCCCCTAGTACTGAGTGCCATGCGTTCCCTCCCCCCGCCCCGGTTTTGCCGCGGTTTGGCAACGGAATTCCGTGTTCTTAACAGGTGACTGACAGGAGGTGGTGGGGGGGGGGGGTCACGCGGTGGGCTTCAGTGGAGGAGTCCGAGATCTTTAATTGCGTGAGTAGGAGTTTCCTCTCTGAGTATACATATATCCCGGTTGTGATACACGGATTGGAAACGTGGACCCTAACAACAAAGGGCTTGGGAAAAATAAGAAGCTGATAAAGTACGCAAAGAAGCATGGAGAGGGGCTTGCTGGGAATTACCTTGAGAGGTTGAAAGAGGGAAATGGATGGTATAACACACGCAAGAAGAACACGTCATCTTGATTTTGAAGACATGTAAGTGGGCTTGGACGAGACACGAAGCTCAGAGGGACAACGTTCGGGTCAAAGGAGGGAACGTCCACCAGAAAGCAACCTTCATCCAGCCGTAGATAGATCACGTATTCGCGATGACAACCAAGAGGTGTAAGATTATCCGACCCCTCACTGAAATCCTCGCTGAGGAATGTTTCTTGATTCCCACGTGACGAGTGGTTTACATGAGGAAGAACCGCCGGAGTACCTCAACAAATCGCACCACACCTACGAGGGGACAACGACCCACACTGATGGGTTCACAATCCCACTTGCTCTTCTGCCACATCTCGGTGAACATATTGCAGCCCAAGCAAAGTTTGGAATATCCGCGATTCACGATGTGATCCACCAACCCTTGGATCCAGAGCGCTGGACCACAGACAGGTTGCGGAATACCGCCTCCACAAAAATGACAAGTGCCCCCACTGCCCCCCCCCCCCCCCCCCACCTACAGCCCCCAATGTCCCCCCCTCCCCACCCCACCAGGGAAGTTAACGAGCGATCACCCAAAATTAACGTCGGCGCTCACCGACCCGCCATGTTGGCGCGCGGCCGTTCTGCAAACGGCACCGGTTGGGGTTACGCCGGGCATGGCGGTGGCGGTGGGGGGGGCGGGGGTCGCTGGCCACGCTGGCTGGGCACCCGGGGGACACCTCCTGGGAATCCGCACTAAGCCACACATGGACAGGCAGCGGGCCGCTCGTGAAACAGAAAATAATTCCTTCGATTGGACTTTGCTCAAAATTCAATTTGCGGGGCTTTCCCCGTCACGGCACACGAGGA